CAAAAATTCTCCACTACACACGGAAGGAATTGTCGCTGCAACATGTCACTGTAATATGTTACTGCAACTTGTCGCCTAGTGTGCACCAACCTTGAGTGTGATTCTAAATCTCTCTAATAATGGAACACTGGTGATAACAGTGGAAAAACAAATTATTAGCAACAAAATTACGTATTATTGCTAATAATAATTTATTACTATCAAGGCTGCTGAGTAAGAAAATTTTTTGGGAGCCCTCCAGGCTCCTAAAATAAAAAGTCTGAGCCGTGTAACGTTTCTAAGGTTAGGGAAAAAGTCATGATGTTAATACTGAAGGTGTTTCTAAGACTATTAAATTCATTTGAGGCCATTTTCAGATGAGATACTTCAACTGCACTGCAACGGAAGTCACCAAAGCAAATTTCAAGACAAGTGCTTGTTTGTTTACCTTTTAATTATTCCCAAAAATATTTTTTGTCTACGGTGGATGACCATATGTTTTCCGTTTTCGTTTCAAAAGCACAGAATGAGTACCGAATTTTGACGTTCATTCACCTGAAGTTGACTTGGAAATAATAAGTTTTAGGCATCCATTCGGGCTCCTTGTTTAAAATTTTGGTCACTCGCGGGCAAATTGTAGGCACCTTTGGTGACCGGGCACCCGTTAGGCAGCAGCCTTGATTATTATTGTTTAAACAACCATAATGGCAATGATAGTGAAAACCTCTGTGCATTAAATTGAATATTTCGTCCACAGATTTAACTTTCCAGACACTGTACAGTCCTTGCCAGTTCCACCCAGTAAAATTATGGCTCCAAGTTCTCGTAGACGAGTTTCATCATCTGACTCTGATCCTGGATCAGAATCTCCTCCCAAAGGTAAACTGCTATAAAGATTGTGTTTACGCTTGGTGCTTTGGCAGTGCCTGAGTGTCACACTCACTGTTTTCTTATGTGAACACACCCCTTTTGAAGTAGTGCATGCCAGGGTTGGGGCATGGTTGCAGCGTCCAAGGACGGTGTTGAGAACTCTTTAACTGCGATGATCTTCCCTGCATTATTTCTTCATTATTCTGCATTTCCTATGTCTAAAAATTCATACCTGGTATATTCATTATTTCACCTTCATTTTTCTGGTCTATATACGAACCAATTTAATAATCAGCTCCCAGTTGTCTTGGTAGCTCATTTGGTTAGAGCGCTGCACCAGTATTGCAGAAGTCAGGGTTCAAGTCCTGGCAAGGCTGAATTTTTTGCAGGCCTTCTTGTCGCACTTCAATGGGTTACGTCTTTAACCGCGGTGATCGTCTTTGCATTTATTTCAGTCATTGCCAGCCAGTAACTGCCAGTGTTGGCTCGACCATCATAATCTCTGGATCTTGTTCTTTCTTCTTTTTTCAGATCGGGTGACTTTGTTAGCCAGCAGTGTTGGAGTAGACAGTGGTAGTGGCAGTGCTAGTGGTACTCCTTTTCCCAAAGCCAAAGTTTGGCAAGTCACCCAGAAACAGAAGACAGTTGATGACTTAGTAAGTGTTGTAATTAATTGTCAATGTCAAAGCTTAACTAGTGTGTTTCTGCGAAACAGGAATGATGTGATTTACGGCCAAAAAAAGTGCGAATCGTGAATAAATCACACTGCTGGGAGCAATTGCATCTTGTTCACTGTAAGGTTCAAAGTAAGGCTACTGACATAAGTTGAGCTTAAAAAACGATACTATTCTCTATTAAATATCGTAGACGTATCAATAGTTTGTAAACTGTTGTGAAAAAATCGCCGAAAGCGTGTTAGTTTAGTTTTGTGGAGTGTGTTAGAGTTATGAGAATAAACGCTTCTCTCTTTTAAAGACCTCTTACTTATCTATTTGATCTATTTGACTATTTTACTAAAATTAAATAGACGTCCATGGCGCCTGTGAGATCGATCATTTACGGTATGTCTTCCAGAGATTACCATGTTTTATCTTTAATATTTTTTTAATTTCAGGAGTTTCCATTTTTTACTATCACGAAGTTTCCTCCTGGATTTTTAAGACACATCGGAGGTGTTGTAACAGCAAGATCTGTCAAACTATTGGACAAAATCAATCATCCAGGTATTAATTGAGTGAGAGTCCAAGTTTTCCATATGTGATGAAACTGTAGCACTATGCTAAGAGGGTCTTCTAAGAAGTTAACCCTTTCACTGCGAGAGTGTTTGATAGAGTTTTGTAAGGTGACTCTAACTTTTGAGTCTGAGGACGAAATCCTATGATGTGACCAATCAAATGAAAGCTCTCTGCCTGTTCTTTCACATGATACTATTTATTGCTCAAAATTTTGGAGAACGAAATTTGGAAATTTGGTCGAAATTTGCCTTTGGCCAAGTTTGGCAGTGAAAGGGTTAAAGAAACTCATGAGGTTCCTCACCACAAGAAGGTTGAAAAATTGGCTCGGTTCCAGTTAGCTCCGTACAAAGACCATTAAAACCTAGTAGAATCCATAGCCAACGCTTAAAATTGGTGAACGTTGAATGCACTATACGGGTACAATGCCAACAATCTTTCAAAAGACCTAATGTCACTTCCAATCATACATCCAACCTCGTTCCCAGGTTCTCTCTCCTAGAGAACCCTGGGAACGAGGTTGTCATACATCACGGTTAAACATGAATCTTGAGACAACAAATACAGGCCGTCAATCAAATAACTGCAAGTATGTTACCATGTAAACAGGATTTTTAGGAATGAAGGCTATAATTACACTAACTACACCAACTACAGCAACTGATCAGTTCACCTACCTTTCCAGCTGTGTCTTTTTATTACCATTTTGATTTATTCGGCGGCATTTTAACCAAATTTTTAGATAAGCAACGGTCAATTTTCCTTTCTCTTCTTTACTAAAGCTAGCACAAGGAATGTCCTCTGGAGTAAGATCGACTTGATAGTCCGCCATGTTAGTTATTTTAAATTTGTCTCGAGGGCTATTAAGCCTCACTTCCACGCAACTTCCGTTTTTTTCTGGAATCGGAGTATTCGCTATTTTTTTTTCTTTACTGGAAGTTTCGTGTTTACAAGTGAGAGCCTCTCATTATTCATTTGAAATATGCACAAATGCTAGCTATTGTTGACCACGAAAATATGAAACTTGGAGACAATACCCTGAATAAAGACAGGCTCTCACTTGTCTTACAATATATCAAAAATCTTGAAACTCAAAGGTCATATGAAAGGACGGTTAATCTCAAGAATCTCAAATTTTTGAAAAAATCTATCGAGCGGTTTAAAAATTATTTGCTAGTTTGTTAAAGTAGAGCAAATGTTTGCAAAACCGCTAACAAGAGCGCCTCGATACATACTAATCAAATCCTTCTTTCTAGCAATCAGCTAGAGCTATCTCCATGATCTTTCACGCACGTTTTTAAAAAGATTGAAACTTCTATGAGGTGAAATTGTATGTCAAGAGCGCTTCGTTTTCTACAGATAACGGCCGAACGTCAAGATTGTCCATTTTTTACTGTATTTTTAACCACAAAAACTTTATCCCTAAAATATCTCAATAACGCTTTGACAGATTTCTCTTAAACTTAACGAACATCAAGGCCTCTATTGGAGAAAAAAGCTCTCGTGAACGATTTTGGAAGAACAGTTCCTAGTTCCGAGAAATACGGCTGCAAGTAAAATAAGTCATGGGGTCATTTCGTTGCTATGACAACTCCGTTGTCCATGTAACCCTGATCATTTCAAATTTTCATCTTTATCTAATACAGCTGTGGTGGTAATTTTTCCAAATCTTTGTTAACGGTGACGTAGTTTACTCAAACTTGGGAGGTATTGACGCTAAAAAACCCTATCGAGCCACCTTAATACAGCTTGGGTTTCTCTTATTTTGTGTCAGATGAACCGGAAACAAGGGACGCTTGGTGGAGTGAAGTCAGAATGGAGATTCGATCCCACGCCAGGGCTCTTGGCTGCCATGCAGTCATAGGATATTATGAAATTACAAGCATATGGTAAGTGTAATTTGTTTTAAAACTTTTTATTGTATAGAGACTGATGAATTAAATACCAGGAATTTTCCTTTTACCAAAAAATCATATCCTCATCGCGCAGTGAAGATACTATTTTTATCTTTCACGTGTGAGGATATTGGTGTCGCCATGGTTACTAACATGATTAGCCAATTACAAGAGAGATTTTTGACTTTTTGGAACAGAAAATATAAGTATTATTGTCTTTATTTCTCCTTTATAACTTTATATCCGAGTTTCATAACATTTTTGTGACAAGCATTTTGCGATAGGTGACCTCTTTAATTGCACTATTTTGCTGTTTCGAAAATGAATAAAGAAAAAGTTAATAATAGCAATAATAATTTATGAACTTATTGTGCGCAGCTTAACATGAGAATGATCAGCTGCGCATTACAACTACATTACTTAAAAGAAACAAATAAAAGATAATGCATTAAAAAAAAATAAAATAAAATAAATAAAAAATAAAAAGAATATATATGCATGCAAGTAAGAAGTGAATATAAAATTGCTCACCAATATAAAGTTTTAAAAAGATAAGTCTTAATATGCGCCTTAAAACTGTTCACATTAGTAATCGCACGAAGTTCTTTTGGAAGAGAGTTCCAGAGCCTTGGCGCTGCTACCATAAAAGCTCTATCACCTAACGTCTTCGATCGAGCAGCTGGCATAGAAAGTAAAATACTATCTGAAGATCTAAAGTTGTATAAGGACGATTTAAATGTTAGTAAATCGCAAAGATATTTAGGAGCAAGGCCGTGAATTGCTTTGAACGTAATAAGCGGTATCTTAAATTCTATCCGGGCTTTAACAGGAAGCTAATGCAGACCACGAAGAAGGGGTGAGATGTGGCAAAACCTAGGGGCATTACAAACTAGCCTAGCTGAGGCATTCAAAACTCTCTGCAATTTGTTAAGCTGGTAGTTGGGCAGCCCATACAAAAGACTGTTACAATAATCAACACGAGATGTAATAAATGCATGGACAAGCATTTCCGTTGATTCTCGAGGCAAATAGTTGCGAATGCGTTTGATATTATGCAAATGGTAAAAGGCAACACCACATAACTTGCTAATATGAGTTGACATAGTGAGCTGCTCATCAAACCATGAGCCTAGGTTTCTTGCTACTGTTACAGGACAGACATCAGTCGACCCAACCCTAATGCAATCGATGTTAACCTTGGCCAGCTGCTGCCTAGTACCTATAATTAAAAATTCTGTTTTATCATCGTTTAACATAAGATTATCTGAAATCATGCAACTCCTAATGTCACTGATACAGTCAGTCATGGACTTGATGGCAAAATCAGCATTCGCAGATCGATTGGGGCTGAATGATACATACAACTGTGTATCGTCCGCGTAGCAGTGAACTTGTGGGAGGTGGCGTTCAACGATCTGAAACAGTTTGCGCGTGTAGAAAGTGAAAAGCAAGGGGCCCAAACATGATCCTAGAGGAACACCTTGTTTTAAAGGAAACTGATCTGAGAGACCACCATTTACAGAGACACGCTGGAACCTGTCGGATAGATACGATTTAAACCAGGCAAGCGCATTGTCAGTTATTCCCAAATCAGACTCAAGACGACCAATCAGCTTTTCATGATGTATCGTGTCAAAAGCTGCACTTAAATCTAATAATACAAGCAAGGTGACATGTTGCTCATCCATAGACATCAAAATATCATTTTTAACTTTAAGTAAGGCCGTCTCCGTGCTGTGTTGCTGTTTATACGCCGATTGAAGCAGAGAATGTAAATTGTTGGCAGTCAGATGCTCCATAAACTGCTCAGCTTCAGCCCTCTCTGACAATTTAGAAATATAAGAGAGGTTACTGACTGGACGGAAATTTTTGAACGCAAAGTCCAAACCAGGCTTCTTGAGAGATGGTAACACAAGCGCCTCTTTCCAGGCCTCAGCAAATCGACCGGTTTCAAAAGAGAGGTTGATCAGCTTAGTGATAACTGGCAATAGAACATCCAGCAACTTGAGAACAATCGGAGTGGGAATGGAGTCGAGTTGACAAGATTTACCCGCTGCACTACTTATCAACGTGCGCACTTGTTCTTGAGAGAGAGTCCTGAAACCGGTAAACTGTTCTTTCAGGCAAGTAATGTTAGTAGCAGGTAGAGATGGTACGGATGGTGTAGATAAATTAGCCAAAGACGCGTTTATATTCGCAGTCTTCTGTGCAAAGAAATTTCCAAAATCATTGGCAAGCTGAACAGTGTCAACACGAGGAAACGATGCAGTGTTGGTGTCACACAACAGGGACTTTGTAACATTAAACAGTTTTCTCTGATCAGAACTGTTTTGCTGGATATGATTGGTGTAATAATCACAGCGAGCTTGGTTCATCAAGTCTATTGCATGGTTTTTCTTCTTTTTGAAAACACTTAGATCCTGTGCTGATTTAGAATAGCGCCATTTCCTCTCAGCTCTCCGCCTAGCCTTAATAGCATCCTTAATTTAGTGGTTAAACTAAGGCACACGCTTCCTATTAGCAACAGACTTAGTTCTCAGGGGGGCATATTTATCAAGTAACGACGACAGTGTGGAGTTGTAGCAGGAGACCATCATATCCAAATCCGTAAAAACATTGGTACACAATTCAGACGTCGTTAAATCAGCTCTGAGTGCATCCTTGTCAATAGATTTTAGCTGCCTGTAACTGGGGCTTTAATTTTATCTTCTCGTGCTGAAAGTATCTCTCACGAGTGAGCGAAGCGAACTTTCATACTATACTTTCAGCACTCGAAGATAAAATTCGTATCCCCGCTCGGCCATGTAATATCCTCTATATATTTTCCTCTGTTTATTGACTTATTAAATTCGCCTTTTTTCTACGACTTAAAGTGCGACTACTACAACAGGGGCCTTTTAGACAAAGTTGACCAATCGGATAACAGGAAAAAAAAAACAATACATTCCGAGAAAGCTTGTTTAGCGGAAGAAAATAAAAAATACTCGAAGCACAAAATTTGAATATTGGTAGCAAATGTTTTCAAGAAAGCAAAATTTATCATTAGTTTTTTTTGTTTGAAATTTGAAATTGAACCCCCAGGAGACAAACCGTTTTTTGTCACAAGTAGTTACGTTGTCATCTACCAGCTTTTCTTCTCTAACACTGCCGCATTTTGCAATAACACGCGTCCTCAATGTTAAAAAAAGCTAAGTGAACGTTTATTTTTTTCACCTCCGTCAATCACTTTAACGAACCTCTCGATTAGCGGTTTATCGATCAATTACGCCTACTTGGTAGCCTCTGTATGTGAATTTTCCTGTAAGCTGCCGTGAATACACGCCTCACGATGTAGTCTTTTCTTTTGTTTCAAGGCTCTTTAAAGCTGATACCGTCGTAGACGATTGAATGACTGCTGATAATTAAGACAGAATAAGAAATTTAGAAATTTGTGGAGATCAATGTCAAGTCAAAGTTGTTCCACAACATTATTTTCTTGCTGAGGCAGTTCGTTTCTGTTGGCCGGATTGTCATTGTTGATCATATTTCCTTTCTCATCTTCTTCAGCTTTATTACCGACCACAGGTCCAACCGCGTTGGTCGCTCCAAAAAATCGCATTTCTATTTGTTCAGCCTGGGCAATGTTAACTGTTCTAAATAATAACTCGATAAAAGCGATTCGAAACTGTCTGATTCTTACTGAATAGATGATTGGGTTGAGCAATGAGTTCATGAAAACTATTGAGACAGAACAAGAGTGAAGCAAATACCTTGCCTCCGTTTTTAATTCTGTGCCCAACCTCGTCAACACCAGTGCAGAAATGAACCCAGGGAGGAAACACAATAATAACACAGCAAGAATGATGGACGTCAGTTTAAAAGCCTTCCTGTCTCTCTCAAATTGCTGCCTTGTCTCTTGGGTAACTTGCTGCGACGCCAGTTGTTTTTCATGTCTGCGAGTTTCGCTGTAAACCGTTATATGGCAGTAAACTATTAAGCCAATCGATAAAATAATGAATATTGAATTTGTGCGCGAAATGAGAATTATGTCAAGGACTGAAAGAACTCGCTGAAAGACGGATAGGAGCCATATGAGAACCGAGGCAATCAGTAAACGACCTTCGGTGACGAGGGTTATGTAGGCGAAAGGATGCTTCATAGCGAGGTATCGTTCTCCGCTTAGCAAAACCATGTGTAACAGCGAAGCGCTAACTAAAAAAATCATCACTGGTCTGAGAAATCGCCATGCACAATATGCCGAGGGCGGGTTAAGGTAGAATATTATTGAAACTATCGTGAAGGAAGGTTGAGCTAGAATCCCTACGGAGAAGTCATTTAAGGCTAAGAGCGCCAGTAAAACATTTGATTTGTGGTCTCTCAGACGCGATTTCATCTTCACAGAGATCATCACCAGTGCGTTCCGAACTGCAGTGAGAGGAAAGGTGAGAATGTTGGCGACGATAAGGAAAATAAGAAAAGCTTGGCCCGAAGGGGAAATCTGTTGTAGACTTTTGGCCAACAACAGGTCAGTGACCGGGTGAGCCTTACATCCAGCAGGGGTACTGTAGGTGGAATTCATCGCCTATAAGACCACGACAGTTTTCTGTGACTTACAACGTAGAAAGTGTTTCGCGAAATATGTTTGTGTAATCAGCAACAATACCCTGACTTCCCATATATACACCTGGCATTTTGAGTTTTTTCGTTTACTACTCTTAAAATCTGCATTTTTAATGACATTGGTTATTCGATTATTTGCCGACATAAATTGATAACCTTATCATGAAATCTCATAAAATAATGAACTGGATAATTCACTAATGAATGCCTTCAAAATCCTCCACCACCGCTTTGTTTTAACAACTCCCACTTAGCCTAATAATTAGCGACCACCACAACCTTTTGCTTGTCAAAATTGTCAGGACTAAAAAAGTTTCTTCTCAAATGTTCGCGTCTACTGCGTTCTTCTCTAAGTTGATTTCCTCATAAATGGGAAATAAAACAAACTGTTGTACTTACCGTTTTGTATAGAAATATTATACAGCTGAATATAATAAGAGGAACTTTGCTTCTCTTAGACTATGATAAAAAGCAATATAATTGAGATCAGACAGCTGGTGTTAAAAATTTGCTGAATACGGAGATCGAAGTTTAAAAAGATAAAACGGCGTAATTGGGAAAATTCGTTAACCGAAACAGCGGTAAGAATGGAGGAACATGAAACAGTGTTCAGAAATCAGATTCAAATATTGACGACCAAATGATGTTTGGAATAGATTGACTGTTGTTATTGAAGTTTGTACAATTAACAGCTAAAAAAGGAAAAAGGCGAGCTTGCTAAATAGTGACATGTGGAACATGTGAAAAGGAAAATTTTATATTTTTAGATTGTTAACCTACCAGCATTTCTCCATTTCACGTAGATAAAAAGTTTTTTTTTTAATCGTGACTAAGCGTACTTTGGCAACTATTTCAAACGATAATACAGTGAATTTGAAATAAATTTGAAACTTATTTTTTGTTCTTTTTGTTGTCTACTCTCGATTTTTCTTGAATTTCAAGGGAGGTATTTGAACTTACACTGATTATATACTATTTGGAAAGTATATTTTCAAATTTTTTTCCAAATTGAGATAATTTTTCTTCGTAATTTTCTGATAATACCGCTCTCCGAACTTATCGTGCACTTTAGTAAAATTTGTCTTTACAAAAGATTAGTCCCATAAAACGGAAAGCTTCGTATGTTGACTAGAATAGACATAAAAGGCGAAATTGAATCACCAGACGAAAGGAAAGAAAAGAAAAGAAATGCAGGAAAATTATTGACTTAGCACTAGAGCGGAAAAAACGCGATGAAATCAGAAGCAGGAGCTTTGAAAAATAAATGAATTATAGAGCTTGTATATGACAGAAAACCTGTTTCGGTGTGCTTGGCTTGTCAGACCCAAATTCATTACGAACAAATTATTACTATTTTATATTAGCCATAAACAAATTCCCTCCCTTAAAAACACTGAGTGCAGCAATAAATTTCCGCTGTGTTTAAGTACATGGAAGTCAGCACAAAGACCTAGCTCATCAAAAACGAAGTTTTCCGGTTTTTCGGTTTGGTAGATTATAGACATTGTTTGCGGGCTTGATGTGGGTCACTTATGAAAAAAATCTCTCCACGACTTCCCCAAACTGAACTCCTTCATTTAACATCAAGCCTTATTGTTTTCCTGGAGCCATTTTACGGATTAGTGTCTCCTCTTTTTAAATCCAGCATACGCTGAGTATAAGTTTTATAATTCGAGAGTTAGGCGTGCTGCAAAACATTGGATTATAAACAGTTTTTAAAAACGTCAGTATCATGGTCTCAAACGAAACAGAAACGGCGAGCGTCCTTTCAGACACAACCAGATATGTGTTTTATTGCCCATGCGAACCACGCTTTTGTTTGGGATTTACTTGACAGTTCCTTGGGTTTTTGCCACTGTCGCATCTATAATCTCTCCAACTGCGGTTCTTTTAAACGCGCTAATAATCATAGTAGTAAAACGAAGGAAAGAACTGCATAGAGCTTCCAATGTCTTACTATCAAGTACGGCCTGTACAGATTATCTAGGAGGACGTTACTGGGCCAAATATAGTTTAAACGTAGTTTAGCCAGTGTTTAACAAAACCGCGTTTTAAGTCATTTCAATTTGCCCAACGATTGTATCTAAACATCATTTATTGTGAACAGTTTTATGAAAGCATATAGAGAAGACTAAAAAAAGCATTTATCTTCTTAAAGCAACCCACCAAAGAAAAGATCTGGAGGTTCAAAGATTCGTTAAACCGCGGCTTAAGTTGGACTTTGTTTAAATATTTGGTCCTATGTGTACCGTTATCTGCTGTCGTTCAGCTCTTCAGTCAGTATTTGATAAGAAACTAGTGTAGTCTCTTATCCAGTACTGGACGACGATCACTCTTTCGATCTGTTCGATTTTCCAGCTAACAATGATTGCGTGGGATAGGTTTGTGGCCATTCGAAAATGGATTGCCTACAAAGTGATTGTGACTAAAAGCCGCCTAAAAAGCTGGCTCTAATAACTTGGCTATCAGCAATAGCAACTAACTCCGCTACCCTTTATTGTGATTACGGGAATCATGGGTGAAAATGCAATGATTTTAGCGGTGGAGATTTTCATCATCGTTCTGTCAGTGTTGGTAATGTCTGCATGCCCTAGCTCTTATCATACCATAAAATTCCGAAAATAAGCCCCGGGGCTGATATTTTCAAAGGCCCTTTTTTAGGGGTTTACTTTTGGAGGGGCTTGCGTACGGAAGAAAACTTGTGTTTCAAAATCGATTGTGCTAGCTTGTAGTGGGGAGGAAATTTACCATTTTTGCTTTGTTTTTACTTTGTATTCGAGGGCAAATTTCAAGGACAAGCCCCCTCGGGTGCGCTCATATTCGGAGGGGCGATTTAACGGAGGGTTTTTGCGTTACGATTTGGGAGGGCTTATATTTGGAGGGGCTTGTACTTGGAGGGGCTTATTTTCGGAATTTTACGGTATATTTTCACGTCAGGGTGAAACTTGGAGTTCGAAAACGTAAATTAAGTCAAATTCGCCAAGTCAGCGAGTTAATGAACGAGAAACTTGGACACAGAATAGCTATGAACACTGCTTTAGTTACGATTGTCCTGATTCTTTCCTTCTGAGCCCTTTCACAATGATAAATATCCTTTAAAGTGAAGATAAAAAAGAACATACTAATCCGCAGCTTTTCTCTTATGTTATACCATGTTTTAGTGCGCTTGTCCGGAAACTGGTCATCTACAGACTTTCAGAAAAGTTCTTCGTCCGATTGAATATGGCGCGGGACCTTTCCGTGACTTCGTCGCTCGGTGGGCCGCTTCGCGGCCTTAAAAGCTCACTCTACTCGCTAAGAAACCCGTGCGGTCGACTTGTAGCAAATCTAGGTCATCCATTGAGCGAAAAATTAAACATTGAAGGAAGGTTAACAACAACACAGCCAAGAAAATAGTTAACTTTAACCCAAGATTAAGTCCAATTTTATGCGCTGTCTTCTTTTACTGGAATATGTAACTCAGTCAAGCCTTACAAAATGCTGTTGCATGAGCCTTTACTCTTAGATACAGTTATGATAACAAAAAATGTTACTCTAAGCAATCTATAGGAAGGTAAATACAAAAAGTGGAACAAAATTCTAATCCTGGATTCGTCCTAATTGGCCTTTCAGGAACCGGGTCCATATCACAGACAAACCTGAAGATGATTAAAACTGATCGCAATGGGAGTTTAGCTGTTCAGCTTTACAGTTTTATGATATTTTTTTTCCTCTGTGATTTGAAGTTTTTTTCCTGTAAGCGGCCGTGAACACACGCCTCACGATGTAGTCTTTTCGTTTGTTTTAAGGCTCTTTAAAGCTGATACCATAGTAAACGATTGAATGACTGCTAATAATTAAGGCCGAATAAGAAATTTAGAAATTTATGGAAATCAATATCAAGTCAAAGTTAAGTTTTAGTTGTTGTTTAGTTGTTCCACAACATTATTTTCTTGCTGAGGCAGTTCGTTTCTGTTGGCCGGATTGTCATTGTTGATCATCATCCTTGCTCATCTTCTTCAGGTGTATTACCGACCACAGGTCCAACCGCGTTGGTCGCTCCAAAAAATCGCATTTCTATTTGTTCAGCCTGGGCAATGTTAACAGTTCTAAATAATAACTCGATAAAAGCGACTCGAAACTGCCTGATTCTTACTGAATAGATGATTGGGTTGAGCAGCGAGTTCATGAAAAGTATTGAGACAGAAAAAGAGTAAAGCAAATACCTTGCTTCCGTTGAAACTTCTGTGCCCAACCTCGTAAACACCAGTGTAGAAATGAACCCAGGGAGGAAACACAGTAATAACACAGCAAGAATGATGGAGGTCAGTTTAAAAGCCTTCCTATCTCTCTCAAATTGCTGCCTTGTCTCTTGGGTAACTTGCTGCGACGCCAGTTGTTTTTCATGTCTGCGAGTTTCGCTGTAAACCGTTATATGGCAGTAAACTATTAAGCCAATCGATAGAATAATGAATATTGAATTTGTGCGCGAAATGAGAATTATGTCAAGGACTGAAAGAACTCGCTGAAAGACGGATAGGAGCCATATGAGAACCGAGGCAATCAGTAAACGACTTTCGGTGACGAGGGTTATGTAGGCGAAAGGATGCTTCATAGCGAGGTATCGTTCTCCGCTTAGCAAAACCATGTGTAACAGCGAAGCGCTAACTAAAAAAATCATCACTGGTCTGAGAAATCGCCATACACAGTATGCCGAAGGCGGGTTAACGAAGAATATTATTGAAACTATCGTGAAGGAAGGTTGAGCTACAATCCCTACGGAGAAATCATTTAAAGCTAAGAGCGCCAGTAAAACATTTGATTTGTGGTCTCTTAGACGGGATTTCATCTTCACAGAGATCATCACCAGTGCGTTCAGAACTGCAGTGAGAGGAAAGGTGAGAATGTTGACGACGATAAGGAAAATAAGAAAAGCTTGGCCCGAAGGGGAAATCTGTTGTAGACTTTTGGCCAACAACAGGTCAGTGACCGGGTGAGCCTTACATCCAGCAGGGGTACTGTAGTTGGAATTCATCGCCTATAAGATCTCGACAGTTTTCTGTGACTTACAACGTAGAAAGTGTCTCGCGAAATATGTTGGTGTCGTCAGCAAAAACACTCTGACTCCCCATATATACACCTGGCATTTTGAGTTTTTTCGTTTACTGCTCTTAAAATCTGCATTTTTAATGACATGGGTCATTCGATTATTTGCCGACATAAATTGATAACCTTATCATGAAATCTCATAAAATAATGAACTGGATAATTCACTAATGAATGCCTTCAAAATCCTTCATCCCCGTTTTGTTTTAACAACCCCCACTTAGCCTAAGAATTAGCGACCACCACATCCTTTTGCTTGTCAAAATATATACAGGACTAAAAAAAAAAATTTTCTCAAATGTCCCCGTTTACTGCGTTCTTCTCTAAGTTAATTTTCTCATGAATGGGAAATAAAATAAACTGTCGTACTTATCGTTTTATGTAAAAATATTACACAGCTGAGGAAATAATATGTATTGCTATCAAGTATGGCCTTTACAGATTATCTAGTAGGAAGTTTGTGGGCCAAATATTTAAACGTAGTTTAGCCAGTGTTTAACAAAACCGCGCTTTAAGTCATTTCAATTTGCCCAACTGTTTTGTCTCTAAACATCATTTATTGTGAACTGTTTTATGAAAGCATATAGAGAAGACTTAAAAAAGCATTTATCTTCTTAAAACAACCCACCAAAGAAAAGATCTGGAGGTTCAAAGATTCGTTAAACCGCGGCTTAAGTTGGACTTTGTTTAAATATTTGGTCCTATGTGTACCGTTATCTGCTGTCGTTCAGCTCTTCAGTCAGTATTTGATAAGAAAATAGTACTGGCTGACGATCACTCTTTCGATTTGTTCGATTTTCCAGCTGACAATGGTTGCGTGGGATAGGTTTGTGGCCATTCGAAAGTGGATTGCCTACAAAGTGATTGTGACTAAAAGCCGCCTTAAAAGCTGGCTGTAATAACTTGGCTATCAGCAATAGTAACTGTAACTCCCCTATCCTTTATTGTGATTACGGGGATCTTGAGTGAAATGTGACGATTTTAGCGGTGGAGATTTTCATCATCGTTCTGTTAGTGTTGGTAATGTCTACCCTAGCTCTTATCATATATTTTTACGTCATGGTGAAACTTGGAGTTCGAAAACGTAAATTAAGTCAAATTCGCCAAGTCAGCGAGTTAGTGGACGAGAAACTTGGACACAGAGTAGCTATGAACACTGCTTTAGTTACGATTGCCCTGATTCCTTCCTTTTGAGCCCTTTCACAATGATAAATATCCTTTAAAGTGAAGATAAAAAAGAACATACTAATCCGCAGCTTTTCTCTTCTGTTATACCATGTTTTAGTGCGCTTGTCCGGAAACTGGTCATCTACAGACTTTCAGAAAAGTCCTTCCTTCCGATCGATTTATTATGGCGCGGGAACTTTCGTGACTTCATCGCTCGCTTGTCCGCTTCGCAGCCTAAAAAGCTCGCTCTGCTCGCTAAGAAACCCGTGCGGTCGACTTGTAGCAAATCTAGGTCATCCATTGAGCGAAAAATTAAACATTGAAGGAAGGTTAACAACAACACAGCCAAGAAAATAGTTAACTTTAACCCAAGATTAAGTCAAATTTTATGCGCTGTCTTCTTTTACTGGAATATGTAACTCAGTCAAGCCTTACAAAATGCTGTTGCATGAGCCTTTACTCTTAGATACAGTTATGATAACACAAAATGTTACTCTAAGTAATCTATAGGAAGGTAAATACAAAAAGTGGAACAAAATTCTAATCCTGGATTCGTCCTAATTGGCCTTTCAGGAACCGGGTCCATATCATGGACAAACCTGAAGATGATTAAAACTGATCGCAATGGGAGTTTAGCTGTTCAGCTTTACAGTTTTATGATATTTTTTTTCCTCTGTGATTTGAAGTTTTTTTCCTGTAAGCGGCCGTGAACACACGCCTCACGATGTAGTCTTTTCGTTTGTTTTAAGGCTCTTGAAAGCTGATACCGTGGTAAACGATTGAATGACTGCTAATAATTAAGGCCGAATAAGAAATGTAGAAATTTATGGAAATCAATGTCAAGTCAAAGTTAAGTTTTAGTTGTTGTTTAGTTGTTCCACAACATTATTTTCTTGCTGAGGCAGTTCGTTTCTGTTGGCCGGATTGTCATGGTTGATCATCATCCTTGCTCATCTTCTTCAGGTTTATTACCGACCACAGGTCCAACCGCGTTGGTCGCTCCAAAAAATCGCATTTCTATTTGCTCAGCCTGGGCAATGTTAACAGTTCTAAATAGTAACTCGATAAAAGCGACTCGAAACTGTCTGATTCTTACTGAATAGATGATTGGGTTGAGCAGCGAGTTCATGAAAACTATTGAGACAGAAAAAGAGTAAAGCAAATACCTTGCCTCCGTTGAAACTTCTGTGCCCAACCTCGTAAACACCAGTGTAGAAATGAACCCAGGGAGGAAACACAGTAATAACACAGCAAGAATGATGGAGGTCAGTTTAAAAGCCTTCCTATCTCTCTCAAATTGCTGCCTTGCCTCTTGGGTAACTTGCTGCGACGCCAGTTGTTGTTCATGTCTGCGAGTTACGCTGTAAACTGTTATATGGTAGTAAACTATTAAGCCAATCGATAAAATAATGAATATTGAATTTGTGCGTGAAATGAGAATTATGTCAAGGACTGAAAGAACTCGCTGAAAGACGAATAGGAGCCATATGAGAGCCGAGGCAATCAGTAAACGACCTTCGGTGACGAGGGTAATGTAGGCGAAAGGATGCTTAATAGCGAGGTATCGTTCTCCGCTTAGCAAAACCATGTGTAACAGCGAAGCGCTAACTAAACAAATCATCACTGGTCTGAGAAATCGCCATGCACAATATGCCGAAGGTGGGTTGAGGTAGAATATTATTGAAACTATCGTGAAGGAAGGTTGAGCTAGAATCCCCACAGAGAAATCATTTAAGGCTAAGAGCGCCAGTAAAACATTTGATTTGTGGTCTCTTAGACGTGATTTCATCTTCACAGAGATCATCACCAGTGCGTTCAGAACTGCAGTGAGAGGAAAGGTGAGAATGTTGGCGACGATGAGGAAAATAAGAAAAGCTTGGCCCGAAGGGGAAATCTGTTGTAGGTTTTTGGCCAACAACAGGTCAGTGACCGGGTGAGCCTTACATCCAGCAGGGGTACTGTAGGTGGAATTCATCGCCTATAAGACCACGACAGTTTTCTGTGACTTACAACGTAGAAAGTGTTTCGCGAAATATGTTTGTGTAATCAGCAACAATACTCTGACTTCCCATATATACACCTGGCATTTTGAGTTTTTTCGTTTACTGCTCTTAAAATCTGCATTTTTAATGACATTGGTTATTCGATTATTTGCCGACATAAATTGATAACCTTATCATGAAATCTAATAAAATAATGAACTGGATAATTCACTAATGAATGCCTTCAAAATCCTCCACCACCGCTTTGTTTTAACAACTCCCACTTAGCCTGATAATTAGCGACCACCACAACCTTTTGCTTGTCAAAATTGTCAGGACTAAAAATATTTCTTCTCAAATGTTCGCGTCTACTGCGTTCTTCTCTAAATTGATTTCCTCATAAATGGGAAATAAAACAAACTGTTGTACTTACCGTTTTGTATAAAAATATTATACAGCTGAATATAATAAGAGGAACTTTGCTTCTCTTAGACTATGATAAAAAGCAATATAATTGAGATCAGACAGCTGGTGTTAAAAATTTGCTGAATACGGAGATCGAAGTTTAAAAAGATAAAACGGCGTAACTGGGAAAATTCGTTAACCGAAACAGCGGTAAGAATGGAGGAACATGAAACAGTGTTCAGAAATCAGATTCAAATATTGACGACCTAATGATGTTTGGAATAGATTGACTGTTCTTATTGAAGTTTGTACAATTAAGAGCGAATGCACAGAAAAATCGAGCAAACCGTGGCCACAGCTCAAAACCTAACCTACCCTCATTTTAAGTCTGTAATAAGGTTTTAATGAGTTTATAACACTGCTGAGGTTTAAATTTCAAAATGCGGCCGAGTTTGGAAATTATTTGAGATTTTCGATTTCAACGGTCCGCGGGCCTAAAATTAGCCGCCGAACACGGCAATATAGCCTAGCGACAGAAATGAGCTGACTTTCATAAACGAGCGAATATATTGGCAATCTTCCACTTAAATCTCAAAAAGCAGATATCTAACAATTTCTAAACAGCACATTTTTTTAGATTTAGAGCATAAAATATCGACGAACGAGCACAATTTTTAAACGTAATTTGCATAATGCTTATAAATACAACAATTTACCGCTAAAACCAAAATCGAATTTTCTATATGGGGGAATTCTCCAAATCACCCCAAATCCCGTTTACTACCTAATGCGATATAGTACTTCAACATTATTTGAAAGTTAGTCTGGTGTTCTCGCGAACGCTTGTAAAATAGATTGATTATTTTGAGGTTATTTTGCCCCAAACAACCGCTAATTGACCCCAGGGTCAGTTGACACGTGCACGTCACCTTAGTTTTATGCATCGATTTGAGCTCGTTAAAAGGGCGAAACTAACAAGATTTTTTTTTAATATGTACCTGCTTTAATAAAATACACTCAATCTTCAAAAGGAGAGGCAGTTCAATGGGTAATGTCTGTTCTTGAGATCTTGTAGATTGTACCATGGCGTCTGCGAGTGGACCTGAGGCTGGGTCTGTTTTCCCGTGACTGCGAAATCAAAATAACATCATGAAATAATTCTCGCTCGAACCTTCGTAAATGAATCCGCTTTGCAGTGCCTTACCTGAGATAAAAAGTGGGCCGAATAGGAAAACATTCTAGCGCAATTTGGATCCTTTGCAGCACGTAGTGTATTTGCTAAGCGGCGATGGTATCAGTGACTTTTAATTACTTACTCACCTCCGATTGCGTGACCAGGCAATTATCGATTGTCTCCTGCGAAAAATAAGTGCACGGGAAACCAAAGCTTTCGGGATACAGTAAATTCATTTTCCTGTATGACCAGGTGTCCTTTTGTCCTATTTTAAAAGCGGTTAACTAAGATGATTAGCAAACATACTGTCCCACTTTTGAAAATGGTACAGTAACTGATTTTATCCCCAACCCCGGAGTGTTCAGAAGAAATATTTGCACCACGCATGAAAGGCAAATGGCATAAATTTTAAGGTTCCAGGCGGTTTTAAGGCATGGGTTACCAGTGGATTAGTCAGACTTGTCATAAGGTGCATTGAACGGAAAATTGCAGGCATGATATCTCTGCTATTGTATATATGTCCATTAAGTGATTTTCCAGCAAACATTTTTTGACTTTTTTACCCCAAAAGTTTCTTCCGTTCAATTCTTATCTATGAGATCTAAACTTAGTTAAATTTCTGTAATTTGTTGTTAAATGCAATTTCTGCAAACAACTAAGTATTTAATTTTGCGTAAAAGCTACATGAAATTGTACTGTTTAGCCGCAAATCATAAAAAAGAGAAAGCATCATGCTTTCTCTTTTCAAGTCTAGTAGGACTTAAGCAATGGCATTGCTTAAGTCCTAGTAGTTGTTCTCCATGTCTGCTAAGGAGGAAATAGTTTGCTCTTTTCAAGAAATTGTTCTTGCCCATTGCGGTTTCAAACCAAGGATAGCAACAAGTCTGTCGTGGTCATATACTGCTACTTCAGTGCAAACGAAGCATAGGCGCACAAGTCAGCGCTTTCGTTTAGTCAGGTGCCGAAAATGAAGTGGAGGGCGTCCATGTTCGCTCCGGCTCGAAAAGGTAGAATCAGTTGTGCAGTAAAAAGTAATGCGAAAAACCTGCGGGGACTGGGGAAAGAAAGGCGTCTTATTTGTCTTTGGCTTGTTCTATTTTCGCGACGTGGTAAAGGCTACGAAATACTGACAAGCTCAGTATATGTCTTCACCACCGAGAGTCACTTGCCCTTAGCCGGACACGCCCCTCACGTATCATGTTTCGTTCCTAAAGTTATTTCAAAGCACAGAACCAAACCTAATCAGCGGCCGAAGGCAGAAAAGGGGATGAGCAAACGGATGTCACGGCATATTTTGCAAGAAACTGGTATCCTTGTGCCTATCGGCTCAGGAACGATTAATTACTACTAGAATTAATATCAGGGTCAGAATTTGAGTGCTACAATGGGAGGGAAGGAAGAAAAGGAAACTGCCGCGTACACCTGTTAAGTCTTTTATAAACGTTCTCGTCCTGACGGTTTCAAGGTATAGAGTGTTTTCACATGACGTCACGGCGACCATATTGGTGTCCCAAAACAATGAAACGACGGCCATGTTGTGTCCCAAACCAATCCTGTGGGAGTTGAACTCCTTTCTTATGCAAACGCTATCTTTTGTTCCAATAAATTTGCATAGATGCTGGCCACGTGAGTGAAAACACTCTATTTAATTTACAGTGTCTGTTGCAGGTGTCGAATTAATCTTGCAGCAAGTGGAAACGTGGCCACGCCTGCTGAAACTGAGATTGCTTGTAGGATGAACGGCTATAGTTTGGTATATTCACGAGCGTGTTTTGTCCAGTGAACTGAGTGCGTAGTTTTTTCTTAAAGAAGGGATGGGGTGGGTCAAGTGAATAGTTCGGGGAACGTTTGCTCTCTTTAGAGGGGGGTATATTTGTTGATATCAGGAGTTCTGGCCTGGATAGAGTCGTTGTAAAGCTATTTTAGCTTCGGAGTATCGGTTTACCGGAAGCTGAGCAAGGAAAAGTCAATGGTGCATTTATGGGATAATAATAGAGATTCTCATGGTCTAACAGTGCGAAGATTAGACTTCTGGTAAGGTGGCAACGATCAAGGCCCGCATTATAATTCATAATAATTGAAGGTCATGACGTAAAAAAGCGACTGAAATGGTGGATGCCATGCAATCCTCTCGGGGGGGGGCGGCGTACCTGGCCTTAACGGTTGCCCCTGCGACAGAAGGCAAGCATGCCCAGATTGTCCACGGGTTGCTAAATGAGACCGTCCCTTTCTTAGTACCCGTTCCTGTCTTATAATTAGACCCCGGAAAATTTCTCGAGATTGCAACATCATTTTGGGCTTAAAGCTTCCAAAGTTCAACAATAATAGCGCATGTTCGCGACGGTTTTTTAAGTCAGTCAAGTTCTTAAACCAGGCCTTAAAAGGCCAGTTTTAAGTGTCGATAACAGTTAAAAAGGCATACAAGCCTCATGCAAAAGACAGTGGGAAGGAAGTGCACATCGGTGATGGGGAAAAAGGAGAAGCTCACAGTTATTTAGGGGTGGATCTTTCCAGGGGCGGATCTAGGGGGAGGGTGCAGGGGCTGCGCACCCCCTGAGATGACCTGCGGTTTTCTAATACAACTGGTATTCTGCAAAAAAAATAAACTATGTGGTTTATTGGTGTTGAAGTAGTAGAGCAAGAGAAGAGTGCACCCCCTCCTAAAAAAAATCCTGGATCCGCCCCTGCTTTCGAAACATTCCTATACTCTTGGACAGATATGCATTGTTTAAAGTTTTAGACAAACCAGGTGTAAATTTATAGTAACAAACTGTTAAATATACATCAGCAAGATTTTTGCGAATCCTATTTTTCGCTGGAGACTATCGTTTACTGGCTGGTCACGCAATCAAAGGTAACGTACTTTCCTACGTTTGTTTACTCACCTTTCGCTCAGCAATACACTGCGTTCCACAAAGGATGCAAATTGCGCTACAAATGTTTTGCTATTCGGCCCTCTTTTTATCTCAGGTAAGGCACTGCAAAGCTGATTCACTTACGAAGATTCGAGGGAGAATTATTTCTTGATGTTATTCTGATTTCGCAGTCACGGGAAAACAGACCTAGACTCAGGTCCACTCGCAGACGCCATGGTACAATCTACAAGATCTCAAGAGCAGAAATTACCCATTGGACGGCCTCTCCTTTTGAAGATTGCGTGTATTTCATTAAAACAGGTAGATATTAAAAGAATCTTGTTAGTTTCGCCCTTTTAATGAGCTCAAATCGATGCATAAAACTAAGGTGACGTGCACGTGTCAACTGACCCTGGGGTCAATTAGCGGTTGTTTGGGGCAAAATAACCTCAAAATAATCAATCTATTTTACAAGCGTTCGCGAGAACACCAGACTAACTTTCAGGTAATGTTGAAGTACTATATCTCAGTAGGTAGTAAGCGGGATTTGGGGTGATTTGGAGAATTCCCCCATATAGAAAATTCGATTTTGGTTTTAGCGGTAAATTGTTGTATTTATAAGCATTATGCAAATTACGTTTCAAAATTCTGCTGGTTCGTCGATATTTTATGCTCTAAATCTAAAAAATGTGCCGTTCAGAAATTGTTAGACATCTGCTTTTTGAGATTTAAGTGGAAGATTGCCAATATATTCGCTCGTTTATGAAAGTCAGCTCATTTCTGTCGCTAGGCTATATTGCCGTGTTCGGCGGCTAATTTTAGGCCCCCAGACCGTTGAAATCGAAAATCTTAAATAATTCCCAAACTCGGCCGCATTTTGAAATTTAAACCTCAGCAGTGTTATAAACTCATTAAAACCTTATTACAGACTGAAAATGAGGTTAAGTTAGGTTTTGAGCTGTGGCCACGATTTGCCGATTTTGCTCGATTTTTCTGTGCATTCGCTCTTAACAGCTAAAAAAGGAAAAAGGCGAGCTTGCTAAATAGTGACATGTGGAACATGTGAAAAGGAAAATTTTATGTTTTTAGATTGTTAACCTACCAGCATTTCTCCATTTCACGTAGATAAAAAGTTTTTTTTTAATCTTGACTAAGCGTACTTTGGCAACTATTTCAAACGATAATACAGTGAATTTGAAATCAATTTGAAACTTATTTTTTGTTCTTTTTGTTTTCTACTCTCGATTTTTCTTGAATTTCAAGGGAGGTATTTGAACTTACACTGATTATATACTATTTGGAAAGTTTTTTTTCAATTTTTTTTCCAAATTGAGATTATTTTTCTTCGTAATTTTCTGATAATACCGCTCTCCGAACTTATCGTGCACTTTAGTAAAATTTGTCTTTACAAAAGATTAGTCCCATAAAACGGAAAGCTTCGTATGTTGACTAGAATAGACATAAAAGGCGAAATTGAATGAACAGACAAAAGGAAAGAAAAGAAAAGAAATGCAGGAAAATTATTGACTTAGCACTAGAGCGGAAAAAACGCGATGAAATCAGAAGCAGGAGCTTTCACAAATAAATGAATTATAGAGCTTGTATATGATAGAAAACCTGTTTCGGTGTGCTTGGCTTGTCAGACCCAAATTCATTACGAACAAATTATTACTATTATTATTATATTAGCCATAAACAAATTCCTTCCCTTAAAAACACTGAGTGCAGCAATAAATTTTCGCTGTGTTTAAGTACATGGAAGTCAGCTCAAAGACCTAGCTCATCAAAAACGAAATTTTCCGGTTTTTCGGTTTTGTACATTATAGACATTGTTTGCGCGTTTGATGTGGGTCACTTATGAAAAAAATATCTCCACGACTTCCCCAAACTGATCTGCTTCATTTAACATCAAGCCTTATTTTTTTCCTGGAGCCAATTTACGGATTAGTATCTCCTCTTTTTAAATCCAGCATACGCTGAGTATAAGTTTTATAATTCGAGAGATAGGCGTGCTGCAAAATATTGGATTATAAATAGTTTTAAAAACTTCAGTATCATGGTCTCAAACGAAACAGAAACGGCGAGCGTCCTTTCAGACACAACCAGATATGTGTTTTATTGCCCATGCGAACCAGGCTTTTGTTTGGGATTTACTTGACAGTTCCTTGGGTTTTTGCCACTGTCGCATCTATAATCTCTCCAACTGCAGTTCTTTTAAACGCGCTAATAATCATAGTAGTAAAACGAAGGAAAGAACTGCACAGAGCTTCCAATGTCTTGCTATCAAGTACGGCCTGTACAGATTATCTAGGAGGAAGTTACTGGGCCAAATATAGTTTAAACGTAGTTTAGCCAGTGTTTAACAAAACCGCGTTTTAAGTCACTTCAATTTGCTCAACGATTGTGTCTAAACATCATTTATTATGAACAGTTTCATGAAAGCATATAGAGACAACTAAAAACAAGCATTTATCTTCTTAAAGCAACTCACCAAGAAGAGATCTGGAGGTTCAAAGATTCGTTAAACCGCGGCTTAAAGGGAACCTCCACTTCAACAAAAAGATGACTTTAAATCACAGGAAATAACTGTTACAGTCAAGTCAATCTAAAATATTTTTAAAGAAAGTGTTTGTATCCGAAAGAAATAACTTTTAGATTCGCCTATTTTTGTTTTCAAATTTTGCGGGCGTCGCCATCTTGAATAATTGTGACGTGTTACGGTTGCCCTATTGTTATTAAACAAAAGCTCTTTGTGTCAGAACAATAGAGCAACCGTAACACGTCACAATTATTCAAGATGGCGGCGCCCGCGAAATTTGAAAGTGAAAATAAGCGATTTTAAAATTTACTTTTCCTGATATAAACACTTTTTTTAAGGACAGATTTCGAACAAATTTGTTTATCAACATAATTTTATTCGATTTAAACTTATTCTGTAGTAAGAGTGGAGGTTCCCTTTAAGTTGGACTTCGTTTAAATATTTGGTCCTATGTGTACCGTTATCTGCTGTCGTTGAGGTCCTCAGTCAGTATTTGATAAGAAACTAGTAGTCTATTATCAAGTACTGGCTGACGATCACTCTTTCGATTTCTTCGATTTTCTACCTGACAATGATTACGTGAGATAGGTACGTGGCCATTCGAAAATGGATTGCTTACAAAGTGATTGTGATTAAAAGCCGCCGTAAAAGCTGGCTCTAATCTGAACTTGGCTATCAGCAATAGTAACTAACTCCGCTATCCTTTTATTGTGATTACGGGGATCATGGGTGAAAATGCAATGATTTTAGCGGTGGGGATTTTCATCATCGTTCTGTCAGTGTTGGTAATGTCTGTCCTAGCTCTTATCATACCGTAAAATTCCGAAAACAAGGCCCGGGGCTGATATTTTTCAAAGGTCCTTTTTGAGGGGCTTACTTTTGGAGGGGCTTGCGTACGGAGGGAAATTTGTGTTTCAAAATCGATTGTGCTAGCTTTTAGTGGGGAGGAAATTTACCATTTTTGCTTTGTTTTTACTTTGTATTCGAGGGCAAATTTCAAGGACAAGCCCCCTCGGGTGCGCTTATATTCGGAGGGCCGATTTAACGGAGGGTTTTTTGCGTTACGATTTGGGGGGCTTATATTTGGAGGGGCTTGTACATGGAGGGGCTTATTTTCGGAATTTTACGGTATATTTTCACGTCAGGGTGAAACTTGGAGTTCGAAAACGTAAATTAAGTCAAATTCGCCAAGTCAGCTAGTTAATGAACGAGAAACTTGGACACAGAGTTGCTATGACCACTGCTTTAGTTACGATTACCCTGATTCTTTCCTTCTGAGCCCTTTCACGATGATAAATAACCTTTAAAGTGAAGATAAAAAAGAACATACTAATCCGCAGCTTTTCTCTTATGCTATACCATGTTTTAGTGCGCTTGTTCGGAAACTGGTCATCTACAGACTTTCAGAAAAGTCCTTCGTCCGATTTAATAGGCTGATTTAGCAACAGAAAGGGAACGTCAGTTGACGACGGCGCGCGCAAATCAAACAACTGGCTTGACCAATGGCAGAGAATGGCAGAGTGGCAAATTGAGCACCGGAAGTCGTGTTTAGTCCTTTCCGCGCGCTTTCCCGTCGTCAACTGATGTTCCCGTCCTGTTGCTAAATCAGCCTATTATGGCGCGGGACCTCTCTTGACTTCGTTGCTCGCTTGGCCGCTTCGCGGCCTAAAAAGCTCGCTCTGGTCGCTAAGAGACCCGTGCGGTCGACTTGTAGCAAATCTGGGTCATCCATTGAGCGAAAAATTAAACATTGAAGGAAGGTTAACAACAACACAGCCCCAAAAATGGTTAAGTTTAGCCCAAGATTAAGTCAAATTTGATGCACTGTCTTCTTTTACTGGAATATGTAACTCAGTCAAGCCTTACAAAATGCTGTTGCATGAGCCTTTACTCTTAGATACAGTTATGATAACAAAAAATGTTACTCTAAGCAACATAAAGGACGGTAAATAGAAAACGTAGAACAAAATTTTAATCCTGGATTAGCGCTAATCGGCCTCTCAGGAACCGGGTCCATATCATGGACAAACCTGAAGATGATTAAAACTGATCGCAATGGGAGTTTAGCTGTTCAGCTTTACAGTTTTATGATAATTTTTTTCCTCAGTGATTTTAAGTTTTTTTCCTGTAAGCGGCCGTGAACACACGCCTCACGATGTAGTCTTATCGTTTGTTTCAAGGCTCTTTAAAGCTGATACCGTGGTAAACGATTGAATGACTGCTAATAATTAAGGCCGAATTTGAAATTTAGAAATTTGTCAAAATCAATGTCAAGTCAGAGTTAAGTTTTAGTTGTTGTTTAGTTGTTCCACAACATTATTTTCTTGCCGAGGCAGTTCGTTTCTGTTAGCCGGATTGTCATTGTTCATCATATTTCCTTGCTCATCTTCTTCAGGTTTATTACCGACCACAGGTCCAACAGCGTTGGTCGCTCCAAAAAATCGCATTTCTATTTGTTCAGCCTGGGCAATGTTAACAGTTGTAAATAATAACTCGATAAAAGCGACTCGAAACTGTCTGATTCTTACTGAATAGATGATTGGGTTGAGCAGCGAGTTCATGAAAACTATTGAGACAGAAAAAGAGTGTAGCAAATACCTTGCCTCCGCAGTTGCTTCTGTGCCTAAACTCGTTAACTCCAGTGCAGGAATGATTATGAACCCAGGGAGGAAACACAGTAATAACACAGCAAGAATGATGGACGTCAGTTTAAAAGCCTTCCTATCTCTCTCAAATTGCTGCCTTGCCCCTTGGGTAACTTGCTGCGACGCCAGTTGTATTTCATGTCTGCGAGTTTCGCTGTAAACTGTTATTTGGCAGTAAACTATTAAGCCAATCGATAAAATAATGAATATTAAATTTGTGCGTGAAATGAGAATTATGTAAAGGACTGAGAGACCTCCCTGAAAGACGGATAAGAGCCATATGAGAGCCGAGGCAATCAGTAAACGACCTTCGGTGACGAGGGTTATGTAAGCGAAAGGATGCTTGATAGCGAGGTACCGTTCTCCGCTTAGCAAAACCATGTGTAACAGCGAAGCGCAAACTAAAAAAATCATCACTGGTCTGAGAAATCGCCATGCACAATATGCCGAGGGCGGGTTAAGGTAGAATATTATTAAAACTATCGTGAAGGAAGGTTGAGCTAGAATCCCTACGGAGAAATCATTTAAGGCTAAGAGCGCCAGTAAAACATTTGAATTGTGGTCTCTTAGACGCGATTTCATCTTCACAGAGATCATCACCAGTGCGTTCAGAACTGCTGTGAGAGGAAAGGTGAGAATGTTGACGACGATAAGGAAAATAAGAAAAGCTTGGCCCGAAGGGGAAATCTGTTGTAGATTTTTGGCGAAGAAGAGGTCAGTGACCGGGTTAGCCTTGCATCCAGCAGTGGTACTGTAGGTGGAATTCATCGCCTATAAGACCACGACAGTTTTCTATAACTTACTCCGTACTTTGGCTTTGGAAGTGTTTCGTGAAATGTGTTCGTGTCGTCAGCAAAAATACTCTCACTTCCTATACACCTGGCATTTTGAGTTTTTTCGTTTACTGCTTTTAAAATCTGCATTTTTAATGACATTGGTCATTCGATTATTTGCCGACATAAATTGATAACCTTATCATGAAATCTCATAAAATAATGAACCGGATAATTCACTAATGAATGCCTTCAAAATCCTTCACCACCGCTTTGTTTTAACAACCCCGACTTAGCCTGATAATTAGCGACCATTACAACCTTTTGCTTGTCAAAGTATATACAGGACTAACAATTTTTTTTCTCAAATGTTACTGTCTACTGCGTTCTTCTCTAAGTTATTTCCTCATAAATGGGAAATAAAACAAACTGTTGTACTCACCGTTTGGAAAAAAAAAAATAAAAAGCTGTATGAAATAAGAGGGACATTGCTTCTCTTACACTATGATCAAAAGGAATATAACTGAGATCAGACGGCTGATGTTAAAAGTTTGCAGAATACGGAGATCGAAGTTTAAAAAGATAAAACGGCGTAACCGGAAAAATTCATTAACCGAAACAGCGGTAAGAATGGAGGAACATGAAACAGTGTTCAGAAATCAGATTCAAATATTGACGACCAAATGATGTTCGCAATAGATTGACTGTTCTTACTGAAGTTTGTACAATTAACAGCTAAAAAAAGGCGAGCTTGCTAAAAAGTGACATCATGGAACCAGTCATGGGAAAAGGAAAACTTTATGTTCTTAGATTGTTAACCTACCAGCATTTCTCCATTTCACGTAGATAAAAAGTTTTTTTTTTAATCTTGACTAAGCGTACTTTTGGAACTATTTGAAACGATAATACTGTGAATTTGAAATCAATTTGAAACTTATTTGTTGTTCTTCTATTTTCTACTCTCAATTTTTCTTGAATTTCAAGGAGATATTTGAACTTATACTGATTATATACTATTTTGAAAGCATATTTTCAATTTTTTTTCCAAGTTGAGATTGTTTTTCTTCGTAAGTTTCTGATAATACCGCTCTCCGAACTTATCGTGCACTTTAGTAAAATTTGTCTTTGAAAAAGATTAGTCCCCCTCAAACTGAAAGCTTCGTATGTTGACTAGAATAGACATTAAAGGCGAAATTGAATGAACAGACAAAAGGAAAGAAAAGAAAAGAAATGCGGGAAAATTATTGACTTAACACCAGAGCGGAAAAAACGCGATGAAATCAGAAGCCGCTAACTCGAAGCTTTCACAAATAAAGGAATTATGGAGTTTGTCTCTTATTATAGAAAACCTGTTCCCGTGTGCTTGGCTTGTCAGACCCAAATTCATTACGAACAAATTATTATTATTATATTAGCGAAAAACAAGTTCCCTTAAAAACACTGAGTACAGCAATAAATTTCCGTTGTGTTTCAGTGAGTGCATGGAAGTCAGCACAAAGACCAAGCTCATCAGATACGAAATTTTCCTGTTTTTCGTTTTAGTAGATTATAGACATTGTTTGCGCGCTTGATTTGGGTCGCTTATGAAAAAAATATCTCACGACTTCCTCAAAATGATCTGCTTCATTTAACATCAAGCCTTATTGTTTTCCTGGAGCCATTTTACAGATTAGTATCTCTCCTCTTTTTAAATCCAGCATAAGCTGAGTAAGTTATACAATTCGAGAGTTAGGCGTGCTGCAAAGTTTTGGATTATAAATAGTTTTAAAAAGCGTCAGTATCATGGGCTCAACGAAACAGAAACGGCGACCTTCCTTTCAGACACAACCAGATATGTGTTTTCATGATTGCCAATGGGAATCACGCTTTTATTTGGGATTTACTTGACAGTTCCTTGGGTTTTTGCCGCTGTCGCATCTATAATCTCTCCAACTGCGGTTCCTTTTTTAACGCGCTAATTTATTATCATAGTAGTAAAACGAAGGAAAGAACTGCATAGAGCTTGCAATGTCTTGCTATCAAGTATGGCCTTTACAGATTATCTAGTGGGAAGTATATGTGTACCGTTATCTGCTGTCGTTGAACTCTCCAGTCAGTATTTGATAAGAAACTAGTGTAGTCTCTTGTTAAGTACTGGCGGACGATCACTCTTTCGATTTGTTCGATTTTCCAGCTGACAATTATTGCGTGGGGTGGGTCTGTGGCCATTCGAAAATGGATTGCCTACAAAGTGATTGTGACTAAAAGCCGCCTAAAAAGCTGGCATTAAAACTTGGTTATCACCAATAGTAACTAATTCACATTCACATAAAAGCCACCTTATCTCTTTTGACGGATAAGTTGTGGGTGAAAAATTTTGCATAAGGCATAGGGTGGGCTGATAGAGAAAATTTGCCAGCGCCGCTGAAGGGGAGGAGGGTGGGGAAACTTGCTTGCCCGTTGTAGAGTAGACTTGCGAGAAGACGGCGAATTTGTTTGCTAGGGCGTATAAAAGGCCTAGGGAATTTCCCTGGGGACCGTAGAGGAACAATAGACTGCTTCCCGAGGGAGCACGCGGTAATCTAGTTGATTAAATCGTCACGCGGCGGCTTCTATACGAATGAGAATAGTAACTAACTCCGCTATCCTTTATTGTGATTACGGGGATCATGAGTGAAAATGCGATGATTTTAGAGGTGGAGATTTTCATCATCGTTCTGTCAGTGTTGGTAATGTCTGCCCTAGCTCTCATCATGTATTTTCACGTCATGGTGAAACTTGGAGTTCGAAAACGTAAATTAAGTCAAATTCGCCAAGTCAGCGAGTTAATGAACGAGAAACTTGGACACAGAGTAGCTATGACCACTGCTTTAGTTACGATTGTCCTGATTCTTTCCTTCTGAGCCCTTTCACGATGATAAATATCCTTTAAAGTGAAGATAAAAAAGAACTTACTAATCCGCAGCTTTTCTCTTATGTTATACCATGTTTTAGTGCGCTTGTCCGGAAACTGGTTACTACAGACTTTCAGAAAAGTCCTTCGACAGATTTAATATGGCGCGGGACCTCTCGTGACTTCGTCGCTCTCTTGGCCGCTTCGCGGCCTTAAAAGCTCGCTCTGCTCGCCAAGAAACTCGTGAGGTCGACTTGTAGCAAATCTAGGTCATCCATTGAGCGAAAAATTAAACATCGAAGGAAGGTAAACAACTACACAGCCAAAAAATGGTTACGTTTAACCCAAAATTAAGCACTGTTGTCTTTTATTGGAACATGTAACTCAAGCTTACAAAATGCTGTTACATGAGCCTTTACTCTTAGATACAGTTATGATAACACAAAATATTACTCTAAGCAATATATAGGAAGGTAAATACCAAAAGTGGAGCAAAATTTTAATCCTGGATCGGCCTCTTGGGAACCGGGTCCATATCATGGACAAACCCTAAAACTGATCGCAGTGGGAGCTTAGCTGTTCAGCTTTACAGTTTTGTTTTCCTCCGTGATTTTAAGTTTTTAGTTTGTCATGAAGCTGCGATTTTTTCAAATAGAAGTTTTTACTTTGCTAATGTTATGTTCTATAGCAAGTAAAGGCGAGAAATTGACAATACTAAAGGAAGGCTTTTTTCATTGGCTATTACGAGGTTGCCCGGGAAACTGGGGCAGCCCCATCGTGCAGTTCGGCACAAAGACTACCCGGTGTTAAGGGCAACCTAAAAATGGCGACTCCCATTCCGCATTCCCCAGCTCAAGTTACGGACCGGCTCTGTTTCTACTTCCCAAGCCTGGGGTCAATTCAATAAAACATTTACAAGGGTAATTTAGAAGTGTAGCCATTGCTTTAGAACCTGAAAACAATAGCTTGTAAATTGCTGTTGAAAAAGTTCTGTTAAATTGACCCCTGATCGCATACGGGAGCTTCGACTGTATTATGCGAGCTCGAAATAACTGCTCGCCTCCCCATTGAGGTCAGTCTTGCTTGTTATGGCGTACCCCGTGCAGATCAACTAAGTTGTAGTTGTTACGAGACCTGCCTTTAAGTCGAAACTCGTTCATTCTTTCAGTGACGAGTTGATAGTATTATCAGCGTCAGGAACAGCAGCATGTATTGACCTACAGTTGGCTACCACTGAACTCACGGGAACACCTCATGGCGGAATTCTTTGTATGTAATATAAATAATCTGTAGAGAAAGGGAATTTGCAGAATAGCCATAACCTAGGGAATTGTAAAAAAAATGATGTGGTTTGTTTGTGCACACTTACTAGGTACCTTAAGATCCGAGGACAGCGACAGCGGCGAAAACATCGCTTAAAAAGTGAATCAGTCGCAGTCTTTCCTCTCAATCTTCATCGCGACTATTCCAACTGACTTAAGCTTTTGTAAAACAGGCAACCAAAACGTGCAACTTGTTTTGCAACATCACTGCAAAATGAGTTGAAAACAGGAGCCGATTACTTGGACCAACCTGATTTGTTGCAAGACAGGTTTGATGTGGGTGGTAAAACGCGCAACATCGCTATTTAACTCATTTTGCACCAATGTTGCAAGACAAGTTGTATGTTTTTTGATGCCCATTTCTCCGTACCTTTATTTTGTCAGATGAAGGCGATCTCTACTGAAGTTGAATGCCTAAGAACCTTGTCCAAACTCGTTCAACGTGAAATTAGGCCTTTTCACATCGTAGTCGTGCGGTGACGTCAACGAAATGAGCAAAAACGTTTGGTGCACCATTAAACCCAAAGAAAGAACGATTATGATCGAAGTCCTTAATCTCACTCTTATAAATGAAAGATGACAAGTTCGACGTTTTAGTCCTAAGCTTCTTAGATAAGTAATTTTATAACTATAAAACGCTGCAACAAAAACGTGCTACTTGTTTTGCGACTTTGCTGCAAAACGAGCAGAAAAGCGATGTTGCGCGTTTTACCACCCACGAAAAAAAAACCCTTTCAAGCTTACTTGTAGCAAGACAGGTTCTAGCGTTGGTGGTAAAACGCGCTACATCGCTATTCAACTCGTTTTGTACCAATGTTGCCAAACAAGTTGCACGTTTTTATTGTCCATTTTATTGTAGCTTCAACTGTAACTTAACAATGTTAATCAAGAAATAAACACTTCTTCAAGGTTAAGGTTTTTATTGTTCAGACTTACAGGTTTTTTTGTTTTTGTTCTTGTATGTAGCTCCGGTTCTTGAAAAAGGCGTGGTCCGACAGATATCACCAGTAGCAGAACCACTGATTGTGGATACTTCAGAACAGGATGAGTGAGTAAACTAACTTGAGCAACTAGCTTGAGTTTCAGTTCAAGAACTAATTAAATAAGTTCCAGTTCAAGCTGAGTTTGAGTTATAGTTTAAGTTTAATTTTGTATTGGATTGAAAATGGAGTTAATAATGATGATGATAATATTAATAATGACCGAGTGTAAAGTCATGATGGATGTGGTTCGTCTCGGTCAATAAAAACGCAAAGAAGAACTCCCCCAATATCCAGCCGTTTTGACCTAACGCATGGTTAATAACGCATATACGTATAGCCCTGCTTTTGTAAAGGTTTGAATGTTGCCTTTGTTTTCTATTTTGTCACAGAACATCAGCAGCTGACGAACTCACGTACACTAACAGTTCTCCAGTTCCTGGGTGTACAGTCTGTCATATTCCTTACTCTGATGCAGATCTACCTTTTCCTGTGGTTCTTACAAAATGTCAAGTTTGTAGGCATGTAACATGTCTTGACTTGTTCTAATTAGTGTGCATTTAAGTTCGAAACGTGCATTTTCACCCACGGTTTACAGAGCAAGGGTGGCGCAGTGGTGGGTGCACTCGCTTCCCACCAGTGCAGCCCGGTTTCAAGTCCCGGTGTGGATGCCCTATATGTGTTGAGTTTGTCTTTTCTTGTCTCTTTTGCCCTGAGAGGTGTTGTGCTCGGTATTTAGAGAAATGTTTTAAGGGGGCAAAACGGGATGGTGAAAAATGTCCTAAAAGGACTATTTTTCACTCGAATTTGCTTTGTTCTAGTCAGTCGGTTTTCAAAGGAAGTCGTACGTTGGGGGAATTTCTTGCTGATCACTTTCAAGGTTTAAAGGTTAACCGTACATCATTACAATTGCAGCTGGAGTAATAAGGCACCCATGTCTCCAAAGACGATCCTGAATGGTGACTTACCTTATTTGCCCAAGTGTACAGAATTTATTTTATGGATTTTAGGAAATAAGAACCTGTTTCAAATTTGAGGCTAGACAGGCTCTTGTAAAGAGGAACCTAAGTGGCCCGTTGTAGCTTAACAGGTTCTTAGTCGCGGGTTTTTGGTATACAGGTTTTACCCAAGTAAGGAATGAGCTGAATACCACTTTATATTCTTAGCTCCAACGTATTTTTTTCTTCAGAAAAGAAGAACCTTTATTTAAGAACCTAAATAATCTAAATTTGTCCTAATTACCATTTATGCAAGAACCTGTTTAGGCTAACTTAGAAAAATGCAGGTTCTCGTGGCGGGTTTTTACTGTACTCTTATTTTTATTAACAGGCAGAGGAAAGTTCCAGATGTAATATTCTCCTCAACTGAACCTCCTGCTGAAACTCCCATTGTTGGCAGAGGATGTCTTCTTCAGGCTCGGTAAATTAAAGTTTTCTTGACTTTGGTAACCAAAGGAAGCATGTTTCGGGCTATCTCAAGACGCTTCTAGGAACTTTGAAGAGTGTAGAACAAATAAATAACATTACATGACCGCGCAGAGATACGACACTTTTCTTCGAGTGTTGAAAAAGTTTGGCTACCCAACAAAGAGAACTTTTGTTCTTGGGCCATCGTAGCCTATGAAAAAATAAAACACAAACAGCGGCGATTAACATTGTAAACTTACGCACTTTTATATCAACTTGACATTTCGACTTTATTAGTGATATATTTTTGTCATAAATTGTACCGGTCACTTTTGAAAATATGTGTTGACTAGCTTACGAAACAAGTTTACAATATTTATCGTCGCTGCTTGTGTTTTATTTTGATTCAAGAAAATTTTGGTCAAGTGAACAAAGGAAATTTGCTTGTTGGCATTCGGAACCATTGTTTTCACATTTTGTTAATACACTCTCTCTCGGGGATCGAATGGCGGTATCTCTGGTAGAAACTGCATGAAAAAAGTTAATGGAATTGGCCTACCGTGAAGAATCATGTGCACCGCAACATTACCAATTAGTGAATCGACATCGTCTATGATTTCAAAATTCTGTTGATCTACCGCTTGGCCATATGAATGTCCGGCACTGGCAGATGGAATTTCTCATTATCAAATTTCCCTCATGCGGTAGCATTTCTATGAAAATTAGTAGTTTGTATATTGACACTACCACCGGTTTAAGATATTGCAAAGTAAAACCCCGTTTACACGGTTCTGGACAATTTTTTTGGAACGGACAAATACCTGCAGAGATCCCGCGCCTTTCGTTTACACGGGACCCGCGGAAACGTGCAAGTTTTTGAACGGCGAGCAGTATTGCAATCTGTAACAGAATTTGCACGGTTCCTTTTAAACGGGTTGCACAGGTAAAAAATTCGTTCGTTCAAAATTTTGTCCGGACTCGTGCATACGGGGTGTTAAGGTCACCCTATGGTCTGAGGTCTCATTATCATTATTACTATTATTATTATTATTATTATTAAATCATTTTTGAGGTTCAGTACATTGTGTTCTTATTCCAGTGTGTGTAGAACCAAAAAGAAGGAAAAAGGTGAAGCGAATGCAGATATTGTCAGCACTGTAAGTATTTAAAGTAAATGAATTTATTTCCTTTTACGAGGATAGCTTGTAACACTGTTTCGACTTTAAAGCTTGTGTTTCTCGAATCGATGATCGAATTGTAATTTGGCAAGTTATGTTTTTATGGAAGAAGGAAACCGAGAGAATCCAGAGAAAAACTCTTCAGCGGGGTCGAGAACCTGTGAGAACAATAAACGTGAAGACCAAGGATTGAGCCCACACCTTGGACCTTTATCAAGCGCTGCTACCATTTTTCATTAAAACAAAAGCTTTCGCGCGTATAGTCTCGCAGTGACTTTGTAGTCTAACAATCTTTGCTTTTGTTGAAGCATCTACCGCTACCACCGCTACCACCACCACTACCACTACCACCACGTCCACTACCACCACCACCACCACCTCCACCACCATTAACACTAACACTATCACCACCACTACCACTACCACTACCACTACCACCACCACCTCTACCACTACCACCAACACCACCACTTCCACTACCATCACCATCACTATCATTTTTACGACTACTGTCACCATTACCACTGCCACTGCCACTGCCACTACTGCTACCATTAAAGATGATGATAATGCCAATAATGATAATCAAGTATTTTGACTTAAGTTTTTTTCTTCTAGATCTTACCATTTCTTGAATATGAACTTCACCAACAGCTGCTAAACAAATTGAAGGTACGTTGGGGGCCAAAGGCAACTTTCCGCAACGTTTTACAGTTTTGGTCTTTCCAGAATCAACAGCACGTGAAAGTGTGTTTTTATATAAAGACGAAGAAATACTCATCCAACTTAAATATTGACAACGCTTGGTAAACAAAGTAGCTCCATGTTCCTTCACCTTATTGCCATCAATGTTGTTTGGCGAGTTGAAATTTATTTCTTGCACGTATGCGTACAACAAATGTTTATATTGCATTAAGATTTAACTCCCTAACCCTACCCATTATTAATATTAACTTATAGGCAGTATTCAAATTGAGGAACACGGGGGCAAACCTCTGTGGCAATGAGACAAATGCGATCAACCGCTGGCAACCTCCCATTTGGCTATAATTACTGATTATGTCATTCAATAATACCTTTTGATACATAGTCTCCATAGAAAGTGGTGCTCATTCCACTTTTTATGAGCACGGGGAAACTGTGAGGATATGCTTTCCCCTTTTGGCTTAGTCAAGACGCCATTAAAATGGCAGAAGGCCAACAAGTGCTTCTGGAGTATCTTTGTGCTGTACGGTTCATAGAAGTAGTTGTTCAGCTAGAATTTGTCTCCAATCTTGTTCCGTCGAATCCCTTTACAAACAATTTGAGAAACATTGGAGGCGGCAGTTGATAATGATATATTCACATTTGTATTCGTATTTTATTTATTAATGGCGAGGAGGCCTAAAGGAAACTCTATTAACAGCTTATGTTAATTAGGCCTCCTAAATTACAATTTTTCATACATGACATTAAAATTACGATATTCGACTATGTAAATTGACCTAGATTGCAAATTTACCGGAGAAGGAGGCAGAAGGCAAAAAAACGTTAAGGTAGACACATTTGTAAACGACCCAGTGGAGTTAAATTAACTCTCAGTACAAAGTAAGTTAGTTTTCGAATACAGTTAAAATCGAGACCTGAATATTACATTAGATTTAGAGATTTGTTTTCACACAAAGCTAGTACATGTTTCCAGGTAAGATGCTGATGTACATCGATTCCAAGAAATTTTGTGATATTGCCTTGCTTCAGTGAAACAAGGCAATGTGAAAGAGAGATATGATCTCCAAATGAAAGGAAAAAGGTTTAGTTACCTTTCCTTGGTCTGGATTTATTAACAACGTAAGAGCACTTTAAAATCCACCATTTATGTTCCATATGTCTGTTTGATTAGAACGTGTAACAGCTGAAGACTCTGTCCAATTCATCGTGCATAACTAGAAATGTATGGAATAAGTTGATCCGTCCAAAGTGTGTTGTCTTTGCACGTGCTGTGGTTGACACTTGTTTATCGATAGTCTGTGAGACATAATTTAGTTTTGCTTCTCTAAGTTTTGCCTTAATACCACGCTTTGAAAGTGGAAAAGTATTGAAATTATACGAAGCAACATATGAACAATATTTCGAACGATACGTAAGCCCTAGTTGAATTTCTTCAGTGTCGATTTAAAAGTGACACAAGAGCACTGGTTCATTATCTTGGTTTCATCTTGATTCCTTTTTTAGTTTCTCATCTTGGTTTCATTTTCACCTCAAGAGATGACACGGTTGAAGTCTTTTTTTTAATTAAAACATTTTACTGTTTTAACCGCTGTCCTGTCGCGTTGACCAGTTATAACTAATTTTAAAAATGTACATGATTAATAAGTTGATCCTTCCAAAGTATGATCGTTGTACGTGCTATTACTGACGATTGTTTATTGATAGTCTGAAACACTTTATTCTCGCTCTTTCAATTTTTACCCAAGTGCCAAGCTTTGAACAGAAAAAGTTTTGAAATTAGGATACAAAAATATTTGTTTTGAACAATATTTGGCCCTGTGTCAAAAGTGACGAACTGAAAACGAATTTGGGAAAGCCCCTTGCTGCTTTGCATATTTATCTGCTGGGAACGTGTTTCCCAGAAAAGTAGGAATTGTACTTCGGCGTGTTATATCGTATGGATTGCGTATTCCTCTCTTTTTTAACAAGGGAAAAGATTTTACTTATTTCAGTGTAGTCGCTTTTGCTGGGTAACAGAAACAACACGCATTTTGCGCTTTGGCTTCACAGTCGACTGGTTTCTCGGAAAATGAGTACTGTTTACAGCAGCGCAGAGCTGAGATACTTTAGGTTGGCTAAAGGTGTTCTAGGTTACTCGGCTAGTGCGTTGAGAAAAGTTTTTATAGAAAAATGGAACTTTCTTTATCCTTCTACGCCATGGCAAAACGACGGAAAGAGCGTTTCCCAGTTGCTCGAGAAAGAAAAAGAACAAGCGAGAAGTTCTCGACTGTACGATCCAGCATTTTCAAAGGGAGACCATGAAGCCGTAAAAGAGAAATTGTCGTATGGCGACGTCGAAGAATGGGACGTTACAGCGCTGGTTTTTGCGTTATGTCACTCTCAAGCTTTACGTGGAATACGTTGTGATCCTGGCTGGGGATTATTAAACCACGCCATTCATGCTATAAAGCAGGTCAGAAACACGGTGCTTTCGCATGCTTCTAAACCGTCGATTTCTCGGCGAACGTTTAAGGTGGCTCCGTAATTAATACAAGAGCATTTAACTGTGACAAATTTTCCGTCATAACTTTTTGGTTTTTAACGCGATGGCTGCGAAACTTGGCAAAGAACAACAGATATCAATCGGCAATAACACAAAATATTCCGATTTCACTGATAGTAAATATTTCTTGAGAAATTAGTGCTTAAAAGGACCCTACTGTTCAAAGAAAATCGCGTCTAGTAAAAAATTTTGCTGATATTTTTTACTGAAATTTCTGGTATCGGCTTTAATTGATATAATAAATATGCCAGAGGAATTTCAGAAAAATCGTTGGAGCAGAAGTCCGTAACTAAAAGTCGGTCAAAATTCAGCTGTGAAATTGTTTTGGAATTTCAAAAATAAATTACTATCAGGTAGAAGGAGCCACCAGTTTGAATTTTCGGGACAAGTAAATTCAACGCTTGCTAATTCTTAAAACAAAAGCCGATTGCCTATCGTGCTATTCTTTGAAAGGTACTTTTTAGTTTTAGAAGAACTATAAATTGCTCCAAACCTTGCTCTGAAGTAGAATGACTTGTTCGTCGACAGTTTCAAAATATCCCTTGGCAGTTTTGGCTCAAACTCCTGCTGCATACATTTTGATGTATTGCCATGCATTTTCAACGACTTTTACTGCCGTTCGTTGCTTCCAACTCAGGAAAAAAGTATTGAGATTGGACGCTACCTCGTATCAGAGCTCAGAAAGAACTGTCCAGCACCTTTGTTTATGACTACAAAATGAGCACGAGCGGCAGTTCTGCGTGGAATTCGCACCTCACCCAGGGGGGAAGAACGACAATGATGACCATGCTTGTGAACCAAATAACATCACAGTGCAAAATAAAATTATCGCAAAAATACTGCCCGTTAATAAATTTACAACTCTAAAATTTTTGTCACTCCTTCCTTCAATGAATGGGTATTTTTTTCTTGATTATTATGTTTTGCTCTGCAATACATGTTTATACAGATCGATTCACAGACATGGGCATCATTGTCACTCGTCCCCCCTGGCTGAGGTGCGAATTCCTCGCAGAGCTGCCGCTCGTGCTCATTTTCTGGTCATAAACAAAGGTACTGGACAGTTCTATCTGAGCTTCGATACTAGGTAGCTTACAATCCCAATACCTTTTTCCTGAATTGGAAACAACGTAAAGCACGAAAAGCCGTTGGGGAGGCTTTGCAATACATCAAAATGTATGTAGCAGGAGTTTGAACCAAAATTGCCAAGGGATATTTTAAAAATGTCGAGGAACAAGTCATTCTACTTCAGAGCAAGGTTTGGAGCAAGTTATAGTTCTTCTAAAACTAAAAAGTACCTTTCAAAGAATAGCACGATAGGCAATCGGCTTTTGTTTTAAGAATTAGCAAGCGTTGAATTTACTTGTCCCGAAAATTCAAACTGGTGGCTCCTTCTACCTGATAGTAATTTATTTTTGAAATTCCAAAACAATTTCACAGCTGAATTTTGACCGACTTTTAGTTACGGACTTCTGCTCCAACGATTTTTCTGAAATTCCTCTGGCATATTTATTATATCAATTAAAGCCGATACCAGAAATTTCAGTAAAAAATATCAGCAAAATTTTTTACTAGACGCGATTTTCTTTGAACAGTAGGGTCCTTTTAAGCGCTAATTTCTCAAGAAATATTTACCATCAATGAAATCGGAATATTTCGTATTATTGTCGAATGATATCTGTTGTTAATTGCAAAGTTTCGCAGCCATCGCGTTGAAATCGAAAAAGTTAGGACGGAAAATTTGTCACAGCTAAATGCCCTTGAGTTAATTACGGAGCCACCTTAAGAGAAACTTCGAGATCGTGGTGCAAGCTGTGGAAAACTTGCTGACTAGCTCTGATCCCTTGGTTGAAAAACTGAAGAAGTTGCCTACCGAGAGAGAATTCGTAACGGAAGAACTCCTTGTGCTTAAAAAACATCTTGAAAGATTAGGGTATAAAGTGAACAAATCAAACCCTGTTGATTTAGCGCCCGCACGCACGAAACCGGCGATTTTCCAGAGCGCTAGATATATTCGAATGATCAACGAATCCAGCTCCATGTCCTACAATTTTCGTTGGGAAGGACTAGACGAATTTCTACGAAGTTTTAACGACGATGTAGATATGCAAATGTTTGCGGATATTCAAGCTGCCCTTTCACTCAGTCATCAGTCGAGAAAGGATGAGAGTTTAGAAATGCTGAATGGGCTTATTCCAAAAGCTCTAACCGCGAAACATGGGTAAGTTAAATCAGATAGATATGGAGATGTTTCAAGTTCTAAATAGGCTCCAAAGGCTCTTTTGGCGAATTAATAGGAGTCAGTCCAATTATCGCCTGCCTACATAAGTATGGCCCGACTAAATTTTCGGATGTTATGATTCAGAAATTGTCAAACGCAAATCTTTGTACATTTTGAACCCAGACAACAATGTTTACAACCGAGTTTTGACTTGCAATTTACATAAGAATAGATCATATGCTGATTGCTTATGTATTACGACCTTTTTTGTTATTTCAACAACAAATATAAGCGAAAACTTGACGGGAAAATAAGTCACGCCATCACGCCATGACTGTTTTCAGTTTTATTTCATGTTATTTAGTACCAAATCGGTTTTAGTCTTATCGAAGATCACTTGACTCTCTTTTGAAAAAGGGAAGTATTTATTTTTTAAAAAATGAAAGTATATAGGTATTAAAACAATATTTTTCGAACTTTATTTGAGCGACGTTTTGTGGATAGATGATGTCCATAGCAACAATTTTGATCACTTTTTAAGTACCAGTAGTTAGCGCGTGAACAAGAAAAAGATGAAAAATATGTTTGTCGCATAGTGATTTTGTTGAATGATACACTTGTTGCATTTTTTTTCTTATCGTCATTAGCTTTTCTTTTGAATGCTTGCAGAGTTGTACTACATGCCCGAATAAAGATTCGCAAAGCATATATTTTACATGATCGTGGTAAAGATGATGAAGCGATGAAAGAGGCAGATGAGGCAGAAATGATGCTGAGCCTTGGAGAGTGTGACGAGGACATGGCTGAAGTTAACTATGCCAAAGCCAACATCATTTTATCATCAGGGAAAAACAGTAAAGAGGACCATGAACTCATTTTACATCACTTGAATAAATGCATATATTTCTGTGAAAAGACTACTGTCGATAAAAGTGTGACTTTTGTTCAAGCCAAGCTTCACAAGGCACTTTTTCATTTAGGCGCTTACCAACATGGCATCTTAGACTCATCAGATGTCAACATTGCAGGGCCTATTTTCAACTGCATTGCTGACCAATCTGAGCCAATTGCAGACAGAAGCAAAGTATACTTCATGTACGGCCAATCATTGCTTGCTTATTCGAAGGGTGACACGAACTTAGCAACAAAGTTAGAGAACAAAGTTAGGCGAAAATGTGAACAACATAAAATGCACTTTGAGATCCAACAGCTCGATAAGTTGAGAACTTTGGTACGAGGCCCTGAGTTAAAAAGACTGACTCAGTGAGAACTAGATTTCACTTCATTTCAGTATAAGAATAAGGTTTAAGGCATTGCCTCTCCTTCATTTAGTCGTAAATTACGAGCTTGAAACGTATACACAAGGTTTTAATTTAAGAAGAGTAAAATGGGGAACAATTTGCCTTAACATGTAAATAAAAGAAAGGAGCAAATTCTGGCCTATTTTTGTAGCTGCCATTTCATGGCTTTTTCCCATGTCATGGTAAGACTACCTGAGCTCTAGTATATGTAGATTGAAAAAAGAGATTGTATTTTGACCATAATTATTTTGTGAGTGTAAAAATGAAATGTTGTTTCAACGCACCAATGACAGTACGAGTCTTCATAGGCAATAACATCGCGGCTTGACTGACAGACGACTAGTAACTTCGCGACTTAATTGACCAGTCAGGTCAATAACCAGAGTTTAATACCATCAACTGACGTGATACAACTCACTTTGACTCTGAAGATGACTACTGCACAGATTGTTGAAATGTCAATCACTATCCTATTCAGGACTACGTTCACCCGGACGATCATGCTCCACCTACTTATGAAATGTTTTTCTTGGAAGGATGGGCAAGATCATCAGTTTTTTCTTGTCTTGTTTCTGTATTATTGATACTAAGTTTTACAATGGTGATGCATGATTGGCCTCAGACCAATTGCAAACCCCCAACGTATAGGGCGAGGGGCTGTCCTTGGTCTTGCCTCTAACTATCAACAAATCCTGCATGGGTAGACCTACAAGGGGTAAAACAAAAGCCCTGTGTTACAGCTGTAGGGTTCATTAAGAATTGCAAGCTCACCGGAACTGGAGAGATAATGCAGTTTTATTGAGATGCAGGTGTTAGTTCAAGATACAATTTCAGGAGTATTATAATCTCTGTGTAAGGCATTACTATTTCTTAATCAAGTATGTTTGATTAAAGTATGCCATTTGGATTTCAAGTTGTCATGTTTGCAGTTATTTTCCCTTTGGCTTCCTTCACAATATGCATTCAAATTCAGATGTCAAATGTGTGGCACCATTCAAAAGAAAATTCATATACACTTGAGAATGATAAACTTCGGAATTGATTGAATCTCTGCCTAGTTTTTGTCCAAAATAAAAATTATAAAGGAAACATAAATAAAACTTTTTCGAAGGTGGTTATCGAACCTTGGTTGCCATAGTGACTTGTTTCTCACCTTTAATTCTTAGGGAGGGCATACCAAACTTAACCTTACCCTTTGTATATCTGACATAGTTTAAATCGGTAGATTTAAAGTTATAATGCCAAAATTTGATAGTAGTACTTGGCTAAGTTAAAAATACTGTTATGAGCTCACTCCTAAGGATATTATTGAAAGTACTGACCCAAAGGTGTGCCTGCCCTTAATGTTAAACTCTTTTTCCAAATTTGATTTAACAGGTTAAAGGCATGAATGCACTTTTTGGACTTCACCTTCAGATATCTGTGGGAGAAACTCTTATTGTTGGAACAGCGGTAAGCTCTGCCGTGTGAATTAATTTCAAAATCACGCGCGTTTTTTTCCTTTGCAAGTGTTTATATTTATAAGATAGTGCTGACTGGTCTCTCTTCCTTATTCCCTGACAATCCTTAATGATCTTTAGTTCTCCTTCAGTGATTAGATTAGCCTGTTCCAGGATGCGAAAAACAGTGAGAGGGTGAGGTAGCTCACTATCTGAATGCCTAGAACAGGTTATGTCTACTGTCAGTGTTGCATTGTTCGCACCTTCTATTGTTCAACTCACTCAGGATATCCCTGCTCCTGGCTGTTTTGTGTTTAAAGAGCAAATAGGCCTTGGGGAGGGTCCTTTTCTTTAATACACCTATGCAACGTCCAATGGCGTTAGGATTTTGGGACTCCTTGTCTAGAACAGAGCATCCAAATTTTATTAATTCCCTAGAACTGGAGCAAATATGTGGTATTTTTTCTTGAAAAGGGTATCATTTGACATGCTGCAAATTTTGAGGCCTAGGCGGCGCATATAGTCACCCAAACCCTTCTAACATACAACCCCTGGAGTACAACGTATCTCCCAGAAAAAAAATTTTGAAATCCCCTTATGGTAAATACGTAGCAAACATTAAACACTTTCGTGGTAATAAATTCTTTTTCATCTCATTCAGGAAGAAAACAGCAATTAGTCAGTGCAATTCATCACTACTTAGTGTACGCGCATTTGATCATATGCATATGCGAAGTAATTGAATTATTAAATTATTGTTACCAAATCTACAAGAATTTACCCATGGTCTGTACTCTTAACGACCTTAGAAACGATGTCAAATGGTCAACACTCAAGTGAAATCACAAGCCGCGGGCGAGGGAGAGCGTGTGATTTTCCGTCATTTCTATGGTCGATAAGAGTATAGACCATAGAAAATTGTTGTCGATTTGTTTTGTCTTTTACTTACATTAAGGTGGACAGTTCTTGACGTCCATTTCCGTTGCAGGTTCTCTGAATTTGCGAGAACTGGAAACAATTTCTCCTAGAGATTCTTCAGAAAACAGATGACTGTGTTGAAGTTCTCCAAATACTTTGTAATATTAGGCAAATGAAAACTTAATAATATTTGCATACTTATTTTGTTTTGTTTCCCGTATCTGTCACCAATGTCATTACCTTAACTCTTAATCTTCTCCTGACTTATATATAAACTATATCTTTAACTTTACAGATCAGCTTCTGTATTATTAATTGCCTAGTCCCTGTACGGCGTTTTCCCAGTCCCTCTCGGAAAATTCATTTCGGTGACGTATCCGACCACGTGACCTGAAACGCTTTGGCCGCGCGGAATAATGAGGCCTAGGAACTAGGCAATATTGTTAGGTTGATCCACTTTCACTATCACTTTTCAACACATTTACTTTTCCCTGCCTCAAAGAGCGTTTTTTTTTTGCTAATTTGCAGAACAATTGTATTTAGCTTTAATATGTGAGAATAAAGTTTTGTTTGTGTTGTTTGGAATATTGTGCGCGAAAGATAGAGAAGAACAAATCATCACGACACTTCCATGGGCTTTTCTCTTATCTACCATAGTTCTCGACTAATTAGCGCTCGACAAACTGCTCAATTATTGTAAAATTATAATTTTTCTTGCAGTCATCTACAGCTGTTTTCTTGGCATCCCTGCCTGCCCCTCCATTGCTAAAGATTACTGGACGGGTGAGTTATTCGATACTTAGGGTTACTTGAAGTCAATCAGGAACCAAGAAGCTTGTGACTTTGTAATAAACAGTTAATGACTGGTCCCAAGGGAAACAGTTAATTTTGTTTCCCGAGAATCGCAAGGGAAACATTGAGATTCGAGGGAAACAAAAGTAACTGTTTCCCTAGGGACCAGTCTTTGAATGATTTGTTACACACAGCTGGAAATTTTAAAGCTGGAAATTCATCAAACTTTGCTGTAACAGCGGTCGTCGGTCAACATTCGCGGTTAACAGTGCACTGCTACACTCTGACGTCATAGATTTTGCAATGTTGCGCGCTCAGAGATTTTGGCGGGAAACGGTTTCATTGTTAGATGTCATGTGACTTCGAAATAACCAATGAGGGCGCTCGCTGTTGGGAAAAAATTTTCAGCTATGTAACAATTCAAGAGATTAAATCCTGTTCTTTATACAGCGTTTGTCTGCTGAAGAAGATAAGCGGCTCGCTGAGATCCAGAGGCAAATCGTGGACACAACTAACAAGAACAGAGCCAGCTTTAGACTTGCAGATACCGTCCATATAGTAAGTAAATTCTTTTTTTCATAACAGCAAATATTTGGTAAGGCTTTAAAGGGGCTGTGCCAGGTCTTCCTATTTTACCTTTTTCAAGAGAGAATAAGCTAGCTTTGATTTTGTTTGTAATGGGATAACACCGAATATTTTTCTTATCTTACTTTTCCTTTTAATTAGCAACTCAGGAGAAAAAGGCCCTGTTGAGATTCAAAATAAATGAGAATAACTTGAATTATTTGAATTGTCTTGCTAGATCGTAGCGTTGTTTTCATCTTTTTCCTGGTATTCAATGTGTATCTTTTTTGCAGAGTACCCCTAAGGCCACACCTCCGCCAAGTCCATCCCAGAATGTCCCTACTATGATCACTGCTGATGTGGATCAGGATGAGGGGCCTAAAGCTGAGCTGGATTTGTGTACAGGGCCAAAAGATGCGTATGTTGTAGAGGTACATATCTTTGTGTAGAGACGTTTAGATTGTAAGGCGAGGACGACTACGAGGACGATATTTCATCAATTTGAAGTGGTGCGCGCGCGTGAACCAGCGTCATTTTGGCGGGAAAACGCGGTAGCCGTCGTCATTCTACTACGGGTTTTAACGAGAATGTTGCTAAGTGTCGGAAAAAAGTTAGAACTTTTATCATTTTACGATCAGGAGAGGGCTATACCTCCTTCAATAAAAATAACCGTGTTTATAACCTAGATTTTGGCGAAATCTTCATATGAAAACAAAAACCTTGCATCACTGTTCATGTAAACGAATCTATTGAAAGAAAAATGGTCAAAAAAGAAACTGTTTTCTACATGCACGGATTCTGCTGTAGTTGAAGCTTCAAATGATGAATGAAGTGATAATAGAAAAACAGGTATTTTTTGCGTTCCTACTATATAAGAAAGTGTGGCGAATGGAAGGAGGGCGTATTTGAGGAAATACGGCAGTGCATTGTTAAAGTACCCTGTATCTCTTATCTCCCTCAAAATGAAATGAAAGAGGCAACTTTCAGTTCTTTGAGCACAGCAAGAGTATACCAATATTACTGACAGAAGTTTAACCGGAATAACTTTTTTGTAGGTTGATGACAAAAAAGACGAAGATGTGGTAGCTGTTTTACTCGATGAACCAGCGCCGGAAGGTCAGCTTTGAGGTTTCATTTATTAAAGGTGCACATTGGAGCATAATTTGAATGATTAAAGTTTCTCTCCCAAGGTTTTCATTCGTGCAACACTGAAACCCTTCCTGGCGCAATCAGCCTTAAATCTGGAGTTAAGGTACACAAAATGTATTTGATTTATCCATTTCTTAGCTATAATCAGTTCCAAATGATGTCTTTGCTGACAGCGGCTTTTTAAGGTGGCGTAATTCCTTGATGTGAATTGTTTTTAAAGATGATAATGGCAGTACAGAGAAAAGCACTCAGCGATGAGGACATTCGAACCAACCAGCAATTTGCTAAACTCTTTGAGGACACAATTAAGGTAAGTCTGATTTGGCTTTTAACACGCTCTCTGTGTAAATCTGTCGTGTTATTAATGGTTGCCACAGGAAAGTCAGGGAAATTTAAAAGAATAATATCATAGGTAACGAATTTCTCCTTAATTTTGGCGCGACATTTCAGCGTTAATTCATAATCTCTCCTGTTAAATTACAAAATTGCCATGGCAACCTTCCGTACGTCTCAGTGCCAAGATGGCGACGAAGTTTTAAAATGTTATGAATGAAGTTGCCATGGCATTAAAAGATGCTTTAGAAACACTAAACATATGAAAGAGCACATCAAGGAGGATTCTACAGGGTACTTTGTCGAAAACTTCTGAAAATTCTCAACTTAAGCCAAATTTAAGCTCTAAACGTTTGAGAGAGTGGAGTTCTCGATCAATACGATCCGAATCAACATGTCAAAAATCCTCGAGTGCTAACGTCATTTGTTACCCATGATATTAATAGGTAATCAAATGGGATACTAGTGAAATTATTCCCTAATTTCACACGTCACCATTTAATTACACATACTAATTAACACCACGGAATATGACTATGGGTATGATTTGGCGGGCAAATTTGAACCGAGTGTACTGCGCAATTTCGTAACAGCTAATAAAATAAGTCATAGCGTTCCTAAAACAGTCCCATAATGCAATTCGACGCATTGCCGACCCAGTTTCACGCTCAACCTCAAATGGCCGACAAAGGGACCTGGGAAATAGTCAAAGTCACTATGAAAGTGTTTCCTCATTTGTAAATATGTTGAGATTGCTTTAAATTTTAAAATTCGGGACAGGGCAATTCATGTGACAGTACATTGAGTTTACATTTGCACTGCTAAGTCTAATTGCTTATCGTAGCTATGTAAGTGTTTCCTCATTTGTAAATATGTTGAGATTGCTGTAAATTTTGTAATTCGGGACAGGACAATTTATGTGAAATACCGTTTGTTTAGATTTGCAGTTGGTCAAGTCTAATCGCTTAGATTGTCTTTTTTTGACTATGATCCCAACATTTTCCATGTTTTTCAGAGTTTGTGGTTCAAACTGCGTAACATGTCACCCTGCTGTCTTTCAAATATTCATTTTGATATTGAGATCCCAGAGGATGATAACATTCAGGTACGCTAGTAAGAAGTTCCTCGTTTGTTTTACTTGCTTTGGAAACTGGATGAAGTAAGCTTATTGAGCTTTCCTCGTAGGAATGGCTGTTTCTTAATCACGTTCAGTCTCAACCAATGCAGCGCAACTGAAGCTAATTTAGCCTGGGTTCCCTTCCCTTAAAGACATTTGCTAAAAATCTTCATTACAGTAGTACCATGTAATTCCTTTGTTATTTTGAAATCATTGTGGAGTAGGTGGCTGTGACGGGTGTGGCAGTGTGTGTGGAGGACAAAGAAACAGAAGAAGAAAACACATCCAAGCAGAAAAGACCTCTTTGCGACAGATGTAAGTAACCTTCTGCTCATAGTGAAAGTATTAAAGTTAGTAGCTTATTAGTAAACCAGGATATCATCCACTCGGGTGTGGAGGGGGGCTGAAAAATTCTATATACCTCATTTAAGATGTTTTGTATTTTTTGGGTAGTTACTTGCTGTTGCGGACGTATGCAATCACCAAATGGCGTAATAGAAAACATTGAAGAGACACTGAACAATAACCACACCACAAAACAAAAGCAATTTTCTGCAATTTGATTGGCTTAGAGCAGTGGTATTTCACCTTAATTTGAAATACCTACATGTGAAAATTACAAACCTTCTAAGGGTAGTACGTGATATTTGGCATAAATACCACTCTTGAGTGATATTTCAAAATTGTCTCAAATTTCACTCGCCTAACGGCTCGTGAAATTACGTATAACAATTTTGAAATATCACCCAAGAGTGGTAGTTATGCCAAATATCACTACAAATCATGCTATTACCTATACTAATCAAATGGTAATGAGTGAAATTATTCCCTAATTTCACGAGTATACCATTTGATTATCTATTGATCTCATGAATAACGAATTACGTTAGCAATCCAGGATTTTTGACATGTTTATCCTGGATCGTATCGATCGAGAACTCCACTCTCTCACACGTTTAGAACTTAAATTTGGGTTAAGTTGAGAATTTTCAGAATTTTCGACAAAATACCTATTAGAATCCTTTTGGATGAGCTCTCTCGTGTGTTGAGGTTTTTCAAAGCGTCTTTTAATGCCCTGACATCTTCATTCATAACTTTTGAAAACTTCGTCGCCATCTTGGCACTGAGACGTACAGAAGGTTACCATGGCAATTTTGTAATTTTACATGTGAGATTATAAATAAACGCGTCAAAATTAAGGGATAATTCGTCACCTAACGTACTAACTTCGATATCCGCAACACCAAGAAACACCCGTTTTTTGCGTAACTTGCTTTTATGAACTGGGTTTTCCTCAAGAACAGTGCGGGAAATTTCATTTTATAGAAACTTAACACCACCATAGAATTTTGCTTAGAGATTCGAAAGTTGCAGTGACGCCAAATCATCTCACCGTAACTTGGTCGAGCAGTAAAAAGTTTCAATGGGGTATATGGCCGAGTGGTGGGGTAGCGTTTTGATTTGGCTCATCTATCGTTATACTTGAAACCGTCACTGCTTGATAGCACTTTTCTGATTGCCTTTAAGCTCATTCGCGTTCTTCTCAGAACTCTGATAATGGCGCCGAGTCTGATGATTTACTTTTTCCCATTGAAGAGGTGGTTGAAACTTCAGCCGTGGAAAATATGAAGAACGAGTTGGGTAATGCGACTTACATTGTGTTTGTTAAAGGACTTGTTTTCCTCTGTTATCGTGTTTATTCTTTGCATCATCCCTAAGCCTTATTTATACTCTCCTCATGTTTGTTTTATAGATTCAAAAACTAAAAGACGTCTCGCTCATCCTCTTACCCTGAAAACAAAAGTAAAGGTTAGTAATTACGCAGATCATACAGGAAGTTAATTTTCTGTTGCTTTACTTATCTGCATCGTTCTTTCTTAATCCTGTCAGACCTAAGAATATTCATCATCAGATTAGTCCATGTAATATCAATGCTTTAAGGTGATGTTACACGGGACGATTTGCAACGGCGATTTTTATCGCAACACTATAGTTGCAACATTGTTGCGACATTGTTTTGAAGGGTTACAACATAGTTCCAACTTTGCAACAGTGTTGCGCTAAAAACAGAGTGTGTAACATCACCTGAAACAGGTTGGTGAATCTAACCGACTTTTCAACAACTTCTCTCTACTACTACTATAGGAAACGTATAGGGACAACAAGTGAGAATTTGAATTTTGATATTAGGGTTAAAAAGGATAACCTAAAAAAAGGGCAGAAGCCGGGAATGCAAAGTACGGGAGGCGGGAGATCTGGATCCCCCTGACCTCATCCCCACAAATTATTGGACTTTCATGCGCCTGCTACGCAGGCTAGAACATATAACCCGAGTTCATCAATATTTGTATTTACAGGTTCCATATCGCCCTGCTGTAGAAGTAACATCAATGTCGTATTTACCCAACACACAGATTGAGCAATACCTCGGCAACATCAACTTGTTTTTAATACGGGAAAGCCACACTGTGCGCGAGGTAACGAAAATTTTACATTTGCCTTCCTGTATTTTTTACCGCGGCCGAACGAGAGAAATTTACAAAAGCCACGTAAACTGCTTTAGTAGACTACGAGTACCCCTATTTTTCCTCAGGGATAGTAGAGCGAGCGAAACGCGACCGCGCGTGAAAATCTCCCCACGCGAGAAAGGCGAGACTCGCCTTTCTCGCGTGGGGAAATTTTCACGCGCGCTCACGTTTCGTTCGCTCTAGTCTCCCTGAGGAAAAATGGGGACGACTCGTAGTCTACTGCTTTAGAGCAAACGTTGTTATTTTTATTGTGTAGACTTAATTACCAGCACTCTGGTGATTAATTAAACTGCTGCTAAAAAACTTCTGAGTGTCTGAAAGTTGAAACTGCGCAATTGTTGGCGCCATTCACTGCGATAAATGGGCCTCGGGTGCAAAGTTATTTTTTGACAAAAAGAAACTGGTTTTTTTTTTAGAAAAAATGAAAAGATAGTTACATTAAAAACTATTTTATTTATCCTTACCTGTGTGTTTCGCTCGATTCTCCATAAAATATCAGTGAGTAAAACGAGAAACGCCGCAAAAAGTTGACTCCACTGCACGTGTAAGATTATTGCCAAACGTGTGGCAATTCGAGACTGCAGAGGAGAAGCAAAAAGTTTATTTTTTTCATTGAATGGTCACACCATAGTCTTATTACTGACCACTTTCGTCACCTGTTTTTCTTTTAGAATGGCGGTTTGAATGTCTTTATGCAAGCCTTTGTAGCTGAGGCTCAAGCAATATTAAGAGCCCATGTGTTGGCTATCGGAGGGAATGCCTTGGTGTCGTACCAGTTAAATGAGATAGTTCTACTTGACAACCCTCATAAACATCAGGTTGGTTAAGTTTAATTCTGATCAAATTATAGTGCATATGATTGTCTATGAATAACCCGTCTGCATCCCTCACGGCTTTGGACCGTCGATACCTCCATAACAGGCAAACTTTCCTTAATTTGTTCCTAGATGGAAAACTATAGATCTCCTAAAGGCGTTAAATACGGACATCTGTATATCATATACGATCGTTTAACTTTGTCACTTTGTTATCCGTATTAAGGGATAAGTTTTCCACGAACAAAATGTGATGTTGCACCGTAAAGGGCTCCTAAGTGTGATGTTACCTTTTCATGGTGGGGTAACTTACGTGCCTTAATGACGCTGAGCTATACAGGGAAGGGAGGGAGGAAGGGAGGGAGGGAGGGAGGGGGGAAGGGCTTAAGCTCCTGGCAGGTCCAACCAAACCGGGCAGGTTACAGGGAAGAGGACAGACTAAAGCTGCACCTAGTCCTCCAGGTTGGGAGCTAACAACCCCACCCCGGAAACAAAAACTTGTTACTGAAACTGCAACGACAAAATTTGCGCCGTGAAGGGAGTAAAATGCATAAAATAGTTTTTTCAACCAAGTAGATAAGCCAGATTGGTCAGTGAAGGGGGATAGAGGAGCTGTCCTACAAACTCTTGAAACATCAGGTTCTTAACACCTCCGTGCTGGCCAATCTACTTAATCATCTCAGTTGCTAAAAAACAAATTTGAAGAAGCTTTCTTGGTTTCCTCATGTAAGGAACCATGCGGTAGAGTTTCTTCGCGGCTTAACCGAGATACTGAAGACGTCAGCCATTTCCGTTGCTGTTGTAAACACCTCCCGCGAAGCACAGGACTGATGTCAATATTCCGTTAGTATGTTTTGAATGTACTCTTCCTCTTATTCCGGAATTCGAATAGCAGGTCAATCGAACGGAAATCCCGAATTGTTCTTACTCCCAGTTTCCACGGTCTCTAGGAACGCCGCTAGGAACGCCTGGGACCCCGACGCCCTTTTGTTTCCTAAATACGATGAAAAACGGCTTGAAGATTATAGTCTCGCTGCTTTTACAAGCGAGACTAAAAAGCGTCCCGAGTAGAAAGGTCAACCGCCTACCTGAGGTACTCTGGGCGTCACATATAAATGTACGGCATACATTTCCTTACAAAACGTGGCGAACCTTTTATATGTGAAACAAAAAGTTTGCTCAGATAGAAGGGTGACCCGCCTAACGGGGGTCACCCCTTTGTCATGCTAGGGTCACCCTCCTAGCCAGACCAACTTTTCTTCATGTTAATACTTTGGCTTGTCCAGCCAAAATGAGCGTGCGCGGGCCGTGTTGGCTTGGTCAAAGGGGTCAACTTTTTTCTCATTAAAACGTTCGACTAGGTTGACTTGTCTGAGAGGGTGACCCTACTAACCGGGACACGTTTTCTCCATTTAAACGAAGCCTAAGATGACTGTCCCCTCTAATGTGGTAGGTTGTTGGGGTGGGGACGAGAGTTAATTACATAATGAGTTTTATATAATTAGTGTAATTATCTTTGACCGATTTGTAGGGCCAGTGCTTGCTGAATGTCAGTGGAGACGCCGTGAAAGTATTTTACGAAGAAGATGAAGGTTTAGATAGCTCAGTACGAGGATCGCCCCGAAAAAGAACTGTGTCATACTCCGAAGCCAATCCACATACACCAGTACAATTAGTACGACAGAGGTCAATATCTGCTTCAGAAGCTTCTATGGGTACACTGACAGCTTATGATCCGTATTATGGGACAGAAATTTAAGTTCTTGTGCAAGCATGTTCCAGGTTCCAAGATCGTGAATCAGGAGATCGTGAGTGAACTGATGCGAAAAACGCGCGGGGCTTGGAGAGAGAGACGCCCCACTGCCATTGCCAGATCACGCCCGTCTTACTATCGTAGAGTCTGGCACTGGCTATTCTGTTGATTTCCCTCTTGTATTCCAGACAGCTTCTTGCAGCCAGATTATGCAAGACACGTCAAGTTCTATGTACTCTCCCTCTCCGGCAGCCGTTTTTGTCTCGTCACGCAACGCTGTTGGGGAGGAGCGTTGCGTGACGAGACACAACCGCTGTTGTGAGAATCCACCATACAAACATCTCAAACTTGGATACACTTTGTCGGAATGCACTTTTGGTATTGAGAGTGACACAAGTAGAAACATTCATCCAAACTATAAACTAGGAATCCCTGGCAAGTCAGAGTTTTATGTTTCTGATTGAAGTAATAGCATCACTCACAGTTTTGTTTCATACATTATCTCCGCTGCGATGATCTCATGATCAAGGTTTTACTCATGATGGTTAAGGAGCTAAAGGGTGATTGAGTTACTGACAACAAGAAACTTTATTTACGACTGGTAACGACTGTAATGGCGGCAGCATGGCGAATTGGTAGTGAGCATGAAAGTGAGCTGAAACTGTCGTAACCACTCAATTTTTGAGTTAATTTGTAGTGATGGATACGAAAAGTTATCTGAATATCAATGACTTACGGACAATTTGTTCTATCACGGTTATTATTTGAGGTTTTTTTTTTCCTCTCTTGCTTCTGCCGACTATGTGAACATGACAGTGTCCAACAAGGCTACTTTGGACACTGTTCACTTTAGCTTAATGATTATTATCAGCTACTTTGTTGTCCTACTTAGTTACACTTGTGTAAATGTCCCGTATAGTGTGAAACAAAGAAAGATTGAAAGTTTGATTACCCATCCAAGTAAATAAAAATAAAAGATCTATATAAAATTTTGCGGCCATCAATCGTCTGATACAGTTACTTTGGCTTTATTTTAAGAATATGATAAAGGAAAACAGTGCGAGATAGAAGATGACGACCAATTGTGGACCAGTAATACTGCCCCCGTCGCGTGTTTGTTCAGTTTAAAATAAAGAGCTGTTTTTGTTAAAGGTACAGCGATTTTCGTATAACCTTGAAAAATGGTTTCTGTAAGTGTTCGTTATTTGTTTTATCAGCCAATGGATGAAAAGATCAAACATGGACTCTTCGTTTTCCCGCCAAAGAAAACCCTCATATGGAGATGGCATTGTTCGATTGGCCAATCGTGTTGCAGTATGACGTCAAAGCGAAGTATCGGTTGATTTCCAGAAAGTTCTCGGGCGTGAAGTTTCTTCACGCGTGCGTTCGCGCAACCAACCAAAAGCCACGCGCCTTTGTATTCGTTCGATAAACCAATCAATTTCGGTCCGTTTGTTGTTTCTGTTCTTTGCGCGCGTTTTTATTTCTAGGTCATACGAAAATCGCTCTAATGTTAATTTATGACCCGGTTTATGACGAAACTCTGTTGAGCGGCCAACCTCAATTAAGCGGCCACTTACCGCTACCCCGAGTGGCCGCTTTATGGAAGTTCAACGTCAAGGAGAACGTTAAGAAATTACAGGTTTAATAAGCAAAACAACGACTCTGCACGTTTATCATACTTTTTTGTACATTTCTTTGCTGTCACTGCACAAGAATCTTCATTTTTTAAAGAAGTGGGTTTCTTGAAAGAGAAAGACTACGCTGAAAAAATGCCTAATTTCCGTTTAATGGAGGACGCAAGCAAGCGACGACGAAATTTTTTTCTCTTTCTGAACTTGGACGTGGTTTCTAAGAATTCAACTCCATAAGAGCTCGTCTGCGTTTGACTAAGAAAGTGAGTTGGAATAATTGCGATGAGGATGAAAGAACGCGAATTGATTTTTGTAAAGCGTCGTTTTCGCCGCTGTGGCCGTCCTCGGATACGGCTGCGAAAACGTCCCTTTAGTAAGTGACTTCGCGCTGTTGCAAACTTATTATTCCATCTCGTTCAATGTTGGCGACTTTTTCTGGAGTTGAATTCCAAAAGACTCTATCTAAGCTCAGAATACGAAAGGTAGAATCCTTGTCTGGTTTTCACGTCCTCTACAGAACATGAAAATAGACAACTTCACGTCCTAGTTGTACAACGACTGCAAAGAAGAAATATGCAAAAAGCGTGGAGCACGTGCAAAGTTGCTGTTATGCTAATCTAAATTAACCAATTGCATTTTTGCCGTTCTCGTTCCCGTCGCTTTAGCTCACTAGGGTCTCTGAAAAGTGACTTAACACTGACTGGTAATGCGGGTCATAAGATATACTTGAAGATTGCGCCAGTTAATCAAATCCAGTTTCAACTAAATGCTTTTCACAAGAATTTCGAAGAGCTCTTTCATCAACATCATCTCGTTCATCTATCTCAAGCCGCGTGTACTTTTCTCTGTAAATGAGCAACCCTAAGACACTAGCACCCAGACTGCAAACGGTCACCCAGTTCATCCACCTTACATCAGAGTGCGGCAGCATAAAGGGGATGTAGAAAAACAATCCGATTATATTTGTCATGGTCATGTTAAGGCTACTAGCGAGTCCCTCTCCTACTGGATATGCACACTCCATTGTAAGTTCAATAAATAGTGGAATGGCACTGTTGAAAAACAAACCTCCTGAGATGATGGAGCTGAATAGTAGTGGTTTGGTGGATGGTAGAATTCCAGCACAGGACAAACTGAAGATCAGCAAGGATAATGTTGAGAGAGCCAAGAGAAGTATTAACATCTGTTTTGTTTTGTTTTTTAAACGGTCTGCATACCTTAAAGAGATAAGGACAAAACGTTCATGTCTATAGCCTGCAAAAATAGCCGTCCCTCTTCGCTCCTCTTCGCTAGGGACGTTTCGCCAGAGGGGAAGTCCACGCATTACCGACAGAAATACCATACTGATGACGTAAATCAATGTTTGCATAATAAATCCGGTAGTCAAAGGGCTCCAAATGTTAATTTGTTCAATTTTATGTCTCTCCTGGTCGATTATGGTAAAGTTTTGTTTTCTTCGGCGAACGAGCTCCAGCAAAACTCAAATGCCCTGCCAAAGAAGAATATATTCCAAGAAAATGGACGGTATTGTAGTAGATCCATCGCGTTGACCCATGTGACCGTTTGCCTTTTGTCTGTCTTTCGTAAACAATAGCTAAAACAATATATAGAACTCCCAGGCAGATTCCGGATAGATTTACGTCATCAGTATGGAGTTTATGTCTCTGAGGCGCAGACGTCCCTTCCGGCGAAACATCCCAAGTGGCAAGGAGCGAGGAAAGACGGCTGTTTTTGCAAGCTATCATGTTTTAATCGTGGCACCTCATGTATAGAGCTATACTATATTAATGGTCTACACTATGGGTGGGCCGGCAGCAACGCTGGCTAACTATAGGATTTCATCCACAGAGTCAAAGATGTTGCCACAACCACCTTACAAGACGCCATCATTTGATCTGCGAGTAAAAAGGGTCAACTCAAAGGGGCTGTATCACGGCTGGCTAGTTTAGTTTGTTTATAATGCCAAGTGCGCATCCTTATTCGCTATGGAACAGTTTGGTGTCGAAGAATATGCCGGCTCCCAAGCGGCAAACGTTACATACAACAAACACGGCCTTTGATAATCTTTTAATTAGGCTAACAAAAACAACAAAAACAAATTATTGTAAGACCCGTTTCAATCTTTCTTAAGTTTGTCTATCCTTGCTTCCTTTTGTATTTGCTGTGTTATCAATACTTTCTTGTAAAGGTTTGCATGAGTGGTTTATGTTTTCATGATTCATTCAATTTGGTAGCTCAGGTGCCGATTTTTGAATTCTGGTAAATTTCGTGATATGGAGGAACGCGTGAAAAGCCAAAGGAAGTTTAGCCTGCGATCGCGAAATCAGATGTATTTCCGGTCGCCGCTTCTTTCCACCCGAAAAGTAAGTTTTCGGGTGGAGAGAAGCGACGAACAGAAATACGACTACGTTCGCAGGGTAAAGAAAATTCTGTGTAGAAGCCATTTTCTCACCCCATACCAAACTAGCTTTGACCCAGTTCCAGAGTCTGGAACATTTATTCGTTAAGGTTTGCATCAAACTATTATTAAAAAAATTTTCTCTAGATCCCGCACAAATCATGAATCAAAGTCATTGTTCGACATTAAAAATATATCTACCGACGATACAAACGGGAATCGCGGAGCAAGGTAGCCTGCAATCCTGCCGTCCCTATATGTTTGGAGCAGTTCGAGAGTGGGCGAGGAACCGGTGAGCATACTAGCAATACTAGGGGGCTTGGGGTCATG